GCTCAGTCATGTCCAACTCTTTGCAGCCCCGTGGACTGTAGCTTACCAGCCATCACATAAAGCATTAGTTGCTCAGACATGTCCAACTCTTTGCAACCCCATGGACTGTAACTTACCAGGTTCCTCCATCCATGGCATTTTCCAGGCAAGAGTACTGGAGTGGGTTGCCATTTCCTTCTCCAGGGTATCTTCCTGACCCAGGAATTAAACCCAGGTCTCCCGCATTGCAGGCAAATGCTTTACCCTCTGAGCACCAGGGAAGCCCACCACCAGGGAATCTCATACAGAACTTCTGACCCAAAGCAAAGGCAAACTAACTTTCTTGAAATTTTTAGGATTCAACACCAACTGGAAAACCTCTTGTCCAGTGCGAACACCTACGGAACTCTCAAACCTCTAATCGAGTTTAAGGGTGCAGCTTTAATTTTTACCTGCTGGTGTGTGTTCACAGCAGCTCTTAAAGACTGCTTGCTTAACTACAGCTGCATACCATATCTCAGCTATGGAAAAAGTCTTCAGTCTCTGCCAGTTTTGTTTCCATAAACATCACACTTTAGCTGGACAGGAGTTAGAGGTTCATCATCAGTCTTTGCAAGACTACAATTCAAAGCAAATTAAATTGTGTTTCAGAGGACACTGTAAAGTATTCTTGATACTACATGCCTCAAATGATTCATTTGAAACCACAAAGAATTACTCTTATGTGTCACTGTTCCAAGAAACAAACAAATGTGAACAACTAAAATATCTTAAGAATGCATCAAGCTTATGAAGTCTCAAACAAAACCTGAATTTTCTGTACATACTCCTGTTAAAGAAGTTATTTTCTGTAGACTGCTCCTCCTGCAAACTGGTCTTCTATTTCCTTTCATTTGACCTACACTGGCTACCAGACCTAGAGAAAGGCCAGGATGGTTCATGATTTCCCTCCTAGGACAGCAATCCCTCTCTTCTACCTCTATCAAGAGACCTGCTCTGACTGGGGGAGAGCTTCTCCATCTTGGAGATAGGCAGCAAGGTGCAGGACTCCTCCTTTAATAACCACTTCAAGTGTGATGACCTTTTGAGATGGAGGTGGACCACAATTCTGATTTTTTTTCACCATTTGACATCTTACTGGGCAGTCACATAGTGTTCTCTCATCTACCCTTGCATCTCGGGGATCTTCAAATTCAACAAAAGTAAAGCTGGGAGGGTTTCTAGCAACCTACATTCTTTGGAGTGGTCCAAAATAGCCTAAAGGTCATTCCAACTCAGTGGTCATTATAGTTTCCAAGGTTACCTACGTAACTTTACAGTCTAATGGACAGGAATCACAATGCATTTCTAGATCTTGGGTTAGAAATGCTGAGGCTCAAATCCGTACACCTTCAGCTGGGTCTTCCTGGTCCCCTCCCGCTTGGCACCCACATATGCTCTCGCAGACTCGGCGTCCATGAAATGCCCTATAATTAGTCTCTTTCATTTCAGTCATTCTAAGGCTCGCAGTGATATCTCATTGCAGCTTTAATCTGCATTTCCTTTCTGACTAATGACATTGAGCACCTTTTCATCTGTTTGTCACCTGTATATTTTCTATGGTGAGGTGTCTGTACAAATCTTTTGCCTATTTTTAATATCTTTTGTTACTGTTAAGTTTTGAATTATGTTGTTGAGTTCATGAAATATCCTTTATCAAATAATATACTTTGCAAAAATTTTCTCTCAGTCTGTGGTCTTTTTATTGTTAGTGGCATCCTTTGAAGAGCAGTTCAATTAAACCACTTGCTCGAAAGACTGCACTTTTGGTATCACATCTATGAAATCTTTGCTTGATCCATGGTAGAAAAAATTTTACCCTATGTTTTATTCTACCAGTCTTGTAGCTTTGGATTTTCATTGGTCTTTGATCATTTGAGTTCATTTTTACATGTCATAAAAGATACGGATTAAAGTTCACTCTTCTTTCATATGGACATCCAATTGTTCCATCACTACTGAAAAGGTCATCTTTTTCCCACCAGTGCCTTTGTGCTTTATTTAAAAAAAAAAAAATCAATTATCCCAATATTTGTAGAAATATTATTTTGATTCTATAATCCAATGATCTATGTGTCTGTCTATGCCAACACCATGCTGTGAAAAACATCTTTTATTTTAAATATAAAAATGCAGATCTTTTTTAAAAATTTATTTATTTATTTAGTTTTATTTATCTGGCTGCGCCAGGTCTTAGTTATGGCATGTAAACTCTTAGTTGAGGCATGTGGGTTCCAGTTCCCTGACCAGGGACTGAACCTGAACCTCACACACTGGGAGCACAGTCTTAACCTCTGGACCACCAGGAAAGTCCCACAAATGTAGATCTTAAAGCCAGATCATCATGTCTCAAAATAAAGCTTGACATAAATAATCCCTATTGTATTTAGAAAGGATTCTTAGTTTAGGACTTTAATAATAATTTAAAACTCTCTTATTGACAAACATCACATTTAGTTATTTTATAGTTTATCATTTTAAGAAATTATTTACTTATTTTATTTATAGTAAAAAGCATCCTGAGTACTTTATATCCCATAAAGTGTGTGTGGCGGGGGTGGGGGTGGGTGGGAGGGGAGGTTTAGATGATTTAAACAATGCTCCATCAAAAGCTCTTATAAAATTTCATGTATTACATCATTTCTCAAAGAAAAGCTGGTTCATACTCAACAATTCTGTTTCACTAATAGGCATCTTAATGATGACTGAGATTCGGAGGAGAGGAAGACAATACTCAAGGACGCTGGAAAGAACAAAACACAGGGGCCACACAATGATTCAACCTCCATTCACTGGCTAAGCTCAACAGACGACTTCACTCAGCTGTCCGGTTTTACACCTAAGGAGAATCTGAAGAAGGAGTTCAAAGACGAATAAAGAGATCAGAGGAGGCGGAAAAAGCATGAGGAAAGACAGTGTACCTGAAGCCTTTTGAAGGAAAGGATTTAGGTAAAACTTAAGTAATGCTGAAGGATCCACCATTTTCTAATCTACAGAGATTAAAAGATAAGATGTTTACAATAAACATGAATGAAAAATGTTGAGTGCAGTTAAAGACAGAATAGGTTATTACGGCAGACCAAACACTGTCTTCTTGAAATCTGCTAGAAAAGATCTGCAGCTGCTTGGGAAAGGTAGGATGTCATGCTATCCAAATTTGAGACCTTCAAAGTTTCTTCTAGGATGACTCTGATTTTATGACCCAATGACTGTTCCTACTGCCAATACCTAAAGTGCCTATGACAATCACAATTACTTAACAGCTACTTGCCACACACTACAATACATACATTACCAACATCACTTAAGCTTTGTGGCAATACTGCCTATTAGGTATTATCATCTTCATTTTATAGATGAATAAGTACTGGTTAGCAAGATGAAGTAATATATGCCCAGGATTAATGTGGTACAGCAAAGAATAAGTACAGTGGTCGTTACCTCTGGCTCTTGGCTAGAGTTTTCTGTGCAACAGCAGTGTCTTTGTTATGCCAAACAGATGACTCAAGGTTGGCCCCAATATAACTTCAGGATGGGGCTGGTTATCAGCATGACTAACCATCTGATTAGAAGGTTGGAACTTGTAGCCAGACATCTGGGGAGGTAGGGCACGGCTTGGAGACTGAGTTCAATCACATGGTTGATGAGTCAATCAATAAAAACTCTGGGCAACAAACCTGAGGGAGATTCCTGGTCAATGAACACACTACACTGATGGGCCAGGAGGGTGGTGTGTCCTGACTCTGTGGAGAAGGGGCCTGGAAACCGTACCACCTCTGAGATCTAGCCCCAAGTGTACCCTTTATAATAAACTAGAACTGTAGGTATAGTGCTTTTCTTCATTTTGTTAGTCCGTCTAGCAAATTATTGAACGTGAGGGCAGTTATGGGTATCCCCAAGTCTATGCAGCAAGTTGGTCAGAAGTGCAGGTGTCCTGGAGACACCACGTGCAGCTGGCATCTGAAGTAGGGCAGTCGTCAAGATGACTCACCCTTAACTTGCAGGTTCTGGCACTAAGCGGTTAGTGTCAGAACTGAATTATAACCTACTCAGTTGGTACAGACTAGTTAGGGTTGAAAGAGAAGAGTTGGTAAGATGTGAAGTGTTACAGGATTCACAACCAGTTCTGCCAAACTCAAAGAAAATATTTCTAATTCAAAGATAAGAGTCTAAATCAAAGGTGTTAAACCATAACACCTTTCGATTTTTCATTTTCAAATGAAATGGTATACAATTCATAAAGATTTTAGTATCTGTACTAACTTAGGAGAAATGAAAATTGTATCAGCTTGAAAACTGAAAAATCCATTTAAGCAATTAAAGTCCCATGTCACTGCTGGCAGACAGTTAGAAACAGCAATGCAGAGCAGCTATGACAGAGTGGCTTATATGGATGGCGAAGTGTTAAACAATATGAAAAAAATTTAGGACCCAAAGTATAAGCAATCTTCAATATTTCTGAAATTTTGAGCCTTTTTCTAAGCCCTTCCCAGATTACTTAAGCTTTTTAACAATTTAAAAAATGAGTTAAAAAAAACAAATGAGTTAAGTGCAGGTATATGGACAAGCTTCTAGGATAAAACCTTAAACACCCACCTTCAACCTTTAGATACAGTGAAAAAGAGCCTGGTTCCTGTGTCCTATAAGCTTGAGAGGAACCACAGGATATAAATCCTGATAATACTTCACAGTCAAAGTGTATGTTACAAGTGTTCTCTACCAACAAGACAACTTTCTGTGCACCAACACAGAAAAAAATTTTTACAGAGTCCAGGCAATAACACTACACACACACACACATATATACAGCCATTTTTAAAAAATTATAGCTGACTTAAATGCTTTCTGAAGTTTTAGTCCAACTTATGAACCAAAAAGGGATTTCCCAAACTTATCTTTCTTTACCAGGATGTATGTAAATTATACTGCTTATAAATGCTGGAAGGTTTTAGACTTAGCTGTTTTATAGTCTTCTTTCTTACCTGGTCTGTTAGTGGCTGCCATAATAAAAACTTGCTGACGTGTTTCCAGACCATCCATCTCTGTAAGCAGCTGATTCACCACTCGGACACTTGCCCCTGTCTAAAAACAAATAAATATAGCTCCTAATAAAAAGAACACATTGCTATTTTTTTTCCATACAAAATATTATAATTGCTAACTTGAATGAAAGCTTCTGTCAAAAGATATAACAGAGTCATTTCCAAAGAAGTCGCTGTATCTAATCACTGTGCATCATGGTCTTGTCAGTGTGCTCCCCCGCAACCCTGCTCCTCGCCACCATTCAGAGGTGGAAACCGAGGCTCAGGGAGGCTACTTGTCCAAGGTCTCAAAGCTAGGTGAGGACAGAAATGGAATTCAGTCTCAGGCTCAGCTGGTCCCAAAGTCTTACGCCTCTGAGTCAGATGAAGAACCAATAGCTGAGAATTCAAAATCCTGTGATAAACCATAATGGAAAATAATATGAAAAGAAATGTACATGTGTATAACTGAATCAATTTGCTTTAATACAATTATTATTATATACAATTATATTGTATATATATATACATAATACATATGTATATATATACATAATATACATGTATATTATATATACATTATATATAATATATATACAATATTAAACATACTAATTGCATTAAATAGTAATATAAACAATAACATATTGGTGTATTAAACATCAATATTACTATAATTAATACCATCAATTAGCTTTAATACAAATTAATACAACACTGTAAATCAATTATATGTCAATAAAATAAAATTTAAAAAAAGATCTAACAGCTACAGTGAACTTCCCTTTGGGCAAATCTAGACTCAGCTCTTTTTTTAAGGTATTTAAAGATTTTTTTGATGTGGATCATCTTTAAAGTCTTTATTGAATTTATTACAATATTGTTTCTGTTTTAGGTTTTGGTTTCTTGGCTGCAAGGCATGTGGGATCTTAGATCCCTGACCAAGGATCAAGCATGCAATCCTTGTATTGGCAGGTGAAGTTTTAACCACTGGGCTGCCAGGGAAGTGTTTGGATGCCAGATCAGACTCTCCTAGACACTGGATATCCAGAGCGATCAGCTGGGACACTGAGGCCTTTTTTCTTGTCTGTGAAGCATGTAATACAAAGCCCAGGGCAACATCCAAGAGAAAGGTGCAAGAAATTGGTGAAGAGAGGGTTATTAACCCATTAAACACACAGAGCCTTAAAGTTCACAATGGAAGAGATGAGAAAAGTAGTGCTATGCTTCTTTTTGTCCTTGATTGCCTTTTTTCAACATAAATTTTGTGTCCAGAGGCAGTGATGAGTTTAATACACTGATTTCTCCAGAAAAAAATTTTGGTGTACCTTATTATCACTCCTTGGAGACACAGCATTAACAATTAGGACATTAACAGAATCATAATCCAGACTCAAGAAAAAAAAAAAATTAAGAAAAAAACACAACACTGTTCTACTTAAGCAAAGTAAAAACCTCAGAATTTATTTTACTATATTAAAATGTAAAATTTTGTATAATAAAAAAAGATAAGTGATAAAACTGGGGAAAATAGTACCAATACACATAACTAGTCAATAGACTAATCTCCATCACATACAAACAACTCTTATAAATTAACGACAAATAAAGAGGAAGACATGTTGTATGTGTTGCCAAAGCAAGCACAGAAAAACAAATAGGGTCTATAATAGCAAAAGGGGTGGAGACATGAACACTAAAATTTAACACCCTGTTTTGACAATAAAACTGAGAAAAATAAAAAGGTAGGGTATTATCCATTATTGACAAAGATATAGGAAATAGTTATTATACACACTGTTGTTGGTAGATGTATGTAACTTGCAGTTTTTGTGAAAAGAGATTTAGTATTAACTTTCAAAATATATATATACATCTTCTACCCAGAAATTCTACTTCCAGAACTCTCACATGTTCCCACACGGGCACAAAAGTATGTGATAAGAGTCAATACAGATGTATCTGTAAGAGGAACAACCGGAAACAGTGTAAATGTCCTAAAGAAAGGAACGACTGAATTCCATCTTCTCTATCCAGACTGTAGAATAGTTATGTAATAGCTAAAAATACGTTACTAAGAACATGGGGAAAGTGTCAAGATAGAATGACCATATTTATATTAAAAAAAAGTTGAAATCATACATGTTTTTAACATTATAGAAAAAGTTCCAGACTACAAATGCAAAACACTCAGCTGTCAGAAGTAACCTCCAAGAATAACAGGTAGGGGAATAGGAAGAAAGATTTGACTCTCTACTTCATTTTTCACAATATGTATTCATGAGTAACTTCCATGATAAAAAAAAAAAAAAGGATACATTTAATTTTAAAATATTTTAAGAATCCCCTTCAGGTGAAAATGTTAAAGAAACACATTCTGAATACAAAAATGTGAGGTACCAGTGAGACATGAGAGAGAGAACCTAGAAGTTAGAAATGTAGTTCATACGGATGCAGACTTCTTTGAGGGCAGAGAGCTGACTGGATATATACCTCAGTTAACTCCTCCTAATCTAAATTACCAGTTGATAACAGAGACACAAATCAATGAATAGGCTGTCAATGAACAAGGGATTTAATTCAAAACAAAAGAGAAGGGAGTAAAAAGTAAAATTCAGAGCATGGCATGCCTCCACCAGCTGGACATAATGTGTAGGGTTTTGTCCTGGGATCCACATTAGGTTTTGGAGTGTGACAGCTGGCAAAAGAACCCTGGAAGGATCTCTGCCCTGGCCACTCACATCACTATCAGAGATGACTGTAATAAAAGATTTTCTGCAATACTGCTGACTATTAGGTGAGGAAACAAAACTGCTATGATATCAAGCACACTTATCCTAGTCGAGTTTTGTTTCTGCAACTTTTGAATGCTTTTGGGAGTTTTAAGCAAAAATGAGGCACCTAATGAATGTTTCACAATCTAAGAACACACACAGAATAACTATTTGAAGATAAATCACAAGAGAAATAAAATCACTTCCTTAATCATCTTATAATAAACATACTTACAACACAGTTTTTGCTATTCTCTTCAAAAGGTTATGTATTTTTTTATATTATGCTTCACTACTCTTCCAACTCTTTTATAACAGTATTCTGAGAACTATTTCTGGGCACTCATTGTACTGAAATTTCTAAGAAGAATGATTCACAGTAGTAACGCAAGTGTTATTTAATGCAGATCAATTTATATCTTCCCCAGATAGAAATCGTGCTGAATCCTAAACATGTGCTCCTACTTGGAGCACATGATGTCTTAAATTACATTTTCTACCATTTCCGGAACCCTGAAAAGAATCATCAGATTACAAGGTAAGCTTTCCAGAACTAACATAATTTCCATTCCAAACAACACACTTGTGTCAAACAGGTATGAGAAACCAAAATACTACACAGGAAAACAAAATGAATACAGAGACTAATAAAAATAAAACTGTTATCCTCAGGCTGTTTTCAAATTACTAGTTTTCTTCACTTAAACAGTCTCAGTGCTCTCAAGGAATGACTTTACAAAACAACTATTTGAACTCTACATAACTTTACAAGAAGTTAAAAAAGGTTTATGGTGCTTAAAAAACTCTGTAATCACGAAACTATGATACCTACCTCTCGGGCTGATCTTCGAGGGCATAATGCATCCACTTCATCAAAGAATATCACACAGGGTGCTGAGTTCTTGGCTCGCTGAAAAACCTGTCGCACAGCACGCTCACTCTCACCAACATACTGACCATACGCAGAGTGGAAATAAAACGTAGAAACAATTCAACTTTGGAGTTTGGGCCAAATTACAATAATACTAGTTTTAAATGACATGTATATATCAGAGTTCGAAAAGCATTAGGTCAAACCACCAGCAACGGCTGACATTTAACCATTCTGACCTATAAAAATAGTCAGTTTTATGTGGTTCAACTTCATAAAATTAGCTCTTATTTAAACTTATTATAAATTTCCTCATTTATAAAATGAAAACTAAATAAATAAATATTTAAATTTTTAAATAAATATAATAACAATTAAATAAATTAATATAATATTAATATAATAATAATTATATAATAATATAATAAATTAAATAAATATTTAAATAAATAAATATTTTAAAAATGAAAAATAAATAAATAAACTTCTGCTGCTGCTGATGCTAAGTCACCTCAGTCATGTCCGACTCTGTGCGACCCCACAGATGGCAGCCCACCAGGCTCCCCCGCCCCTGGGATTCTCCAGGCAAGAACACTGGAGTGGGTTGCCATTTCCTTCTCCAATGCAGGAAAGTGAAAAGTGAAATTGAAGTCACTCAGTTGTGACCGACTCTTCGTGACCCCATGGACTGCAGCCCACCAGGCTCCTCCATCCATGGGATTTTCCAGGCAAGAGTACTGGAGTGGGGTGCCATTACCTTCTCCAAGGTCTCTTCTAGGTCAAGAAAAATTCCACAATTCTATGGCATTTTAGAACTGATCAAAGCTCTATGCATATAAAATACCCAGCAGATATTTTCATTAATTCAACAGTATTTTAAATGCAAAAAGGACAACTTACTGTTCTACTGTTGTTTCTATATAGCAGATATTTTCATTAATTCAACAGTATTTTAAATGCAAAGAGGACAACTTATTGTCCTCTTGTTGTTTCTATATATTGCTAAAGGAAGAACTCATGACGATAATATGGCATCAGAAGAGGCAAATTAAGCCACCTAGATATCTACCAGGTTTCATAAATGCATACTGTATGGTAAAACTAAAATACAAAGCAATTCACAGGCAGCTATAACATTAGAACTAACTAAAATAAAAAGTTGTATGTAAAATAGTTTCACTTTCAGCTAGGCACAAAGAATTATTTGTGTAAAATTTCAACCTAGCTAACTAAGAAAAGCTTTTTTTCTAATACTGCTAAATAAGACAGAATCTGAAAACATCTTTACAACGCCAATTATACCATAAAGCATCTTTTATATTACTGTATGACTATATAGCAATATGAAAGTAATTAAGGCACAGAAGACATCAGAGATGACAGCAATTAAAGTACTTCTATTTTCTATTTGAGTAGATCTTCTTTTCTTCAGATCTGTCCTATACTGTTCATTGTACTTTTCCTTATTCCGCTTCTCTCACATGACCTGCTTTTCCAACCTACCTCAACACAGTTCTTGAAGTTTAAAAGATCACTGATCTTTCTTCTCATTACTCCCTCATCTCTTATAGCACCTCCTAATGTTATAATTTTTGAGCTATTCTACAATACCTTCACCATATTACAACATAAGTCCTTGGAAAGCAGAAGCCATGACCATTTCAAATTTTTCTGTGACCATAACATCCTACACAGTATACAAATACAGCAAACCAATTTCCTGAAAAAATCTAAATTAACAAAAATTAAATTTGGAATGTCGAACCAAAACATTCAGTAGATATTTGTAAATTATTACCATTTTAAACTAATCGATTTTGGCTGCACAGGGTCTTTGTTGCTGCACACTGATATGTATATAATGCTCAACTTAAACATCTATCAAGAAAAAAAACTTGAGTTTTTATTTTTTAAAAATTTCTAACTGGAGGATAATAATTGCTTTATAATACTATGTTGGTTTCTAACATACATCAACATGAATCAGCCATAGATAATACATACATATTTCCCCTCTGTCTTGAAACTTCCTCCTATCTCCCAATCCAAGCCATCCCTCTAGGTGGTAATAGAGTTAAGTTTTTAAAACTGTGGTTATAGTCATTCAATAGACTACTACACAAAAAACTAATAACTAGAGGCAAATATATCAACAAAGACAAATATTATAATGTTTAACAAAAATAATAAAATCAAGTTATAAAAGAACACATACCATTTATAAAAAGTGGCTTTGTTTTTATCATTTATAAAAGGAGTTCCAAACATATAATGAAAGTAGACATAATAATGTAATGAATCCCAAATACCTCCATTACCCAGCTTCATAATTATCAACACAATTCATGATCAGTTTTGTTTCATCTAAACCCTGTCCACTTTCCTTCTACTTGTTATTTTGATGAAAAGCCCAGACATCATAACTTTATTTATAAATATTTTACTACCTCTAAAAGATAGTGGTTTTAACATTAACTACATGACTACCACACTTAAAAGTTATTTTCTTAATTTAGGGATAAATATATAATATATATATATTTAATGTAAAAAGTGCACTGAATGAATTGAAAAAGCCTTTTTAAACAAATGATACCATTTTCATTTCTTCTTTCTTTGAATATTATGGAATGGCATTTTTACTTTTCATAGGCATAAACAGGAAATAAGAAATTCAAAGTCTCAAAATTGAGATACAAACTGCTTAAATGCAGAAAGAAGTTATTATATAGTAAATACTTCAGTGATTTCTTTCCCTTTAAATATTTTTATTTATTAATCCTTAACTCATCTGAGCTACACAATAAGAGAACAAGCAAAGCAGATTAGGCGTCTGATGACACAGACTCAGATGTCAGCTCCACTAACCCCAAGCTATTGGGCACTGGCCGAGTTACATACAACTCCTCAAAACTTAAGTTTCCTCATCTGTGAATCAGGGCAACAATAATATGTACCTCACAGGGTTGTTGAAGAATAACACATGTAAAGTGCTTGATAAATTTGGAGTTAACACTTTAAAATGTTGACTATTTTGATTATTTCCATTCTGCTGGTGAAAAAATTTAGGCTCAGATGTTAACAGACTTAATTAAGAAAGCATTTATACACAGTAAACAGTACAGCAAAGCAAAGCTCAATCTCTTCACTCCCAATGCAGTGATTTTACCAAAATACCACAACTATTTCAACAATCTGAAGACCCTGTAATCTGAATGACCATTACTTTTCCTAATAAAAAATAATAGCTAATGCCACAGCAACTTACCATGTTTAGTAATTCAGGGCCCTTCACAGATATAAAATTTAACCCAGACTCATTTGCAACAGCCTAATAAGAGAAAAAAGACACAAATAAGACAAGTATACAATAAAATACTAATAATGTGTGATAATACAAGGAATCTTTGCAGTTTATCTCTATTTCCCCCTTTTCATAGCTGCCTCTTTCTCATTAGAAGGAGAACAGACAAATGGGAATAAAAAGAAACTCAATACTTTTCACAAATTACTCAGACAAAAAATTAGACAGAAATCACCAGAAACATTCATGTAAATCTTTTCTTTGCATAAATGTGGTAATATGTAAGTATATTTGAAGCCTGAGCTTAGAATCCTAGTAAAATCAGAATCTCACTGGGCACAAATGCCCAATGAAAGCAATCAACATTCATTCATTTATAATCCAAAATCCAAAAGCATCAATATCAGTCTTTATGGTACTTCAGGCAGTTCAGTTGCTCAGTCGTGTGCTACTCTTTGTGACTCCAAAGACTGCAGCACGCCAGGCCTCCCTGTCCATCACTAACTCCCAGAGTTTACTCAAACTCATGTCCATTGAGTCGGTGATGCCATCCAACCATCCTTTGTTGCCCGCTTCTTCTCCCGCCTTCCATCTTTCCCAGCATCAGGGTCTTTTCCAATGAGTCAGTTCTTTGCAACAGGTGGCCAAAGTATTGGAGTTACAGCTTCAGCATCAGTCCCTCCAATGAATATTCAGGACTGACTTCCTTTAGGATGGACTGGTTGGATTTCCTTGCAGTCCATGGGACGCACAAGAGTCTTCTCCAACACAACAATTCAAAAGCATCAATTCTTCAGCACTCAGCTTTCTTTATAGTCCAACTCTCACATCCATACATGACAACTAGAAAAACCATAGCTTTGACTAGATGGACTTTTGTTGGCCAAGTAGTGTCTCTGCTTTTTAATATGCTATCTAGGTGGGTCATAACTTTTCTTCCAAGGAGCAAGCATCTTTTAATTTCATGACTGCACTCACCATCTGTAGTGATTTTGGAGCCCGAAAAAATAAAGTCTGTCACTGTTTCCATTGTTTCCCCATCTATTTGCCATGAAGTGATGGGACCAGATGCCATGATCTTCGTTTTCTGAATGATGACTTTTAAGCCAACTTCTTCACTTTCCTCTTTCATTTTCATAAAGAGGCTCTTTATTTCTTTTTCACTTTCTGCCATAAGGGTGGTGTCATTTGCATATCTGAGGTTTTTGATATTTTTCCAAGCAAACTTGATTCCAGCTTGTGCTTCATCCAGCCCAACATTTCTCATGATGTACTCTGCATATAAGTTAAATAAGCAGGGTGACAAGATACAGCCTTGACGTACTCCTTTCCCAATTTGGAACCAGTCTGTTGTTCCATGTTCAGTTCTATCTGTTGCTTCTCAACCTGCATACAGATTTTTCGGGAAGCAAGTCAGGTGGTCTGTATTCCAATCTCTTGAAGAATTTTCCATAGTTTGCCAAAGGCTTTGACATAGTCAATAAAGCAGATGTTTTTCTGGAACTCTCTTGCTTTTTCAATGATCCACCGGATGTTGAGAATATGATCTCTGGTTCCTCTGCCTTTTCTAAATCCAGTTTGAACATCTGGAAGTTCATGGTTCACGTACTATTGAAGCTTGGCTTGGAGAAGTTTGAGCATTACTTTGCTAGTGTGTGAGATGAGTGCAATTGTGTGGTAGGTAGTTTGAGCATTCTTCAGCATTGCCTTTCTTATGGACTGGAATGAAAACTGACCTTTTCCAGTTCTGTGGCCACTGCTGAGTTTTCCAAATTGGTGGCATATTGTGTGCAGCACTTTCACAGCATCATCTTTTAGGATTTGAAATAGCTCCACTGGGATTCCACCACCTCCACTAGCTTTGTTCATAGTGATGTTTCCTAAGGTCCACTGGACTTTGCAATCCAGGATCTCTTGCTCTAGGTGAGTGATCACACCACTGTGATTATCTGGATCATGATGATTTTTTTGTATAGTTCTTCTGTATGTTCTTGCCACCTCTTCTTAATCTCTTCTGCTTCTGTTAGGTCCATACCTTTTCTGTCTTTTATGGTACTTACAGATTATTTTTTAATAAAGATTGAGCTGTATAGTTTAAAGCCAAAGATAGCAACAAAGGAGAAATATATGATGACACATTTAGAAGAATCCAAAAATTATACTGTGAATGCAGAGATGAAATCTAAATAAAATCACTCAAAACTTCAAAATGATCAGGGAATAAGTTCCTTCCTATGTATAAAACTTGGTATCTGAGCTCAAGATTTGTGTTCAACACACTCCTCAGCATCTCCACTTGGATCTTTCAAAAAAATTTTCCATTTGGATCTTATAGGAATTTCAAGTCTGTTATATCCAAAGCAGGACTCTTGAATCTCCCCTAACTCTCCAAACCCCACACCCCAAATTCTTTTCCTCCTCATCCCAGAAAATACATTTTCTAAGCCAAAGCCACAGTGTCTCCCCTTGATCTCTTGTTAGATCAGTGAACCCATTTGGAAGTTCTACTGGCTCTAATGCTAAAATGTAGGTGAGTCTGTCACTTCCTATTTGTCCACTATACCATCACCTTCATCCACACCATGTCCTATTGTCTGAACATGCAAAAAACCCAGATCAAACCAAACCCCCAAAATCCTAACTAGCTTCCTTTTCCTCTTGCCTTCTTCCAGTCCATTTTCCACTTAACTGTCAAGGAATTCTGAAAAATGTAAGAGGGGAGGGATAAATCAGGAGATTTTGACTGACATACACACAGTATCATATATAACATGGGTAACCAATAAGAACCTGAGGTGCAAATATACCAATTCAAAACCAAACAAACATGACAAGGCACCCAAGCCAGGGAACTGCATCAACCCAGTAAATCCACGTTAGCTTTCAGGACCTTCCTTCTGGCTACAGTTTTCTAAAACTGTTGCGAGAAAAATGCAGACCAACAACCCCTGCCTTTGTTCTCATCTGCCTCCTGTGCTCCCAAACTCCTTTACAGCAATGCTGTATAAGAGTACTAGACTCATTCAGCAAGAAAATTTAACGATATAAGTAAAAATAAGTTTAAAAAATTTTACATGTATACACACACACACATGAGCAATTGGCACTGTGGATATCTGGTATTTACTGAGGAGCCAGAAATTATTTGGCTGTTGTGAAACTTACTAAAAATGCCATTAATTTTATTTTTTGATTCTATAATTTTATTTTTAATCAATTAATTTGTTTTTGCCATCAATTTTAATTTGTTTACAAGTAATCCAAATGTTTTTAAAAGGTGATAAGGGTTAAGTAAATTATAGATGGAATATTATACAGACACTAAAAACCATGACTAATTTAAGTTACAAATAACAAAAATGGCTCTAGTAATTCCAGTGATTCCAAATTCTAGTGATTCTAGTGATTCCAAAGGGAAGGTAGGAATCAAAAGACTTGAGAAAGCTGCCCAGATGATTATTGGGGGCGGGGGGGCGGGGAGCCACAAAACTTAAAAAGTGTCAAAAATACGATTAACAAAATAAGAAGGCCCCAAATGCTGATAAAATACAAATATAACAGATCTTACTATATGAAGAGTGATTATAAGAAAATCACATGCATGTCAGTAGGAAAACAAAGGATATGAACAAACAATTCATCAAGAAAAAAGCCAATAAAACACATTATTTTTAAAAGCCCACTAGTAATTTTTAAAACATAACTTAAAACCTGGAAGATAAGCATGTTTACCTATTAGACTGTCAAATATTAAAAAGTGTCAACAGCTATTGCTAATTCAGGGTGCTGGGGAAATAGATACTCATACTCTACTTAAGGGGAGAAACTACTACAAACTTCTATAGAAGACAGTTTGGTAACAGATCAAATGTACCTGGGTAACAAATTATTTTGATGGCGTGGTAATGGATCAAAACCTTTAAACTCACGCATTCTTTTCATTAAAAAAATATTCAGAATGCACTCTATTAAAATTACCCATCAAAGTACAAAAATGTCAGCACAGGACTGTTTCATGCAGTGTTGTTTAAACAGGGGATCATTTCATGAATTATAGAGCATCTTTATGGCAGAATACTATGCAGGTATTAAAAACACTAATATTTATCTGTATATATTGACACAGGAAGATGTTCAAGAAGTATTGCTAAGTGAGAAATCTATGTTTAAAAATCTCATAGTTGTACATATATGTGTAAAAGTTACGTATGTTATCTTGATATGTAAGTGGAGAATAACATCTGGAAGGACTAACAACAAAATGAAATTATTAAGACAGAAGGGATTATAAGAAATGCTTTCCCCTTTTGCTTATCTATTTTTTCTATTACTGTAAAAAACGAAGCTTTCAAAATAACAACTGCAATAAGGAATGCAGAAAAAAATACTTCACTTATAAATAACTATAACAAGGCAGGAAACAAACTTAGCTACAAACTACAACTATGTGATAATGCACAATAAAATGAATATAATACACAGAATATATAATTTCTCTTAAAATCGATGGGGTTTTGATATATTAAAAATTTTCTTTTCCAAATTTTCAACGATATATCTTTTGTAATTCAAATAAAAGTGGAAAGTCTCATGAAGAAAATTTGCTAGTCTTTCCAAAATGAACTTCTAATAGAAACTATGCAAAAATATCCCACTGTAACATTTAAAGTTGAATTCATATTACCCTAACTGATAGTAAGAAACAAAATACATGCCACTGATTTATTCCATACCTTTGCGAGCAGAGTTTTCCCACAGCCAGGAGGACCAGCCAGGAGGACCCCAGCTGGAGTCACCAAGCCAAGAGCTTTGAACTGATCTGGGTTACGTACTGGTGCCTGGAAAACACAATCCCAACATTGACCTATTACAAATGTCCACTTTATACTGCATACTCTAGACACCTATTTTCAACACTGACTGTGAGGCCTGAAGATAAGAACAGAGCTTAGCACAGAGTGCTTCCCTCTGTTCCGAGCATGAGGTAAAGGGCGATAAATTTAAAATCCTTGCTCTTGAAAAATTTATGCTTAAATGTAAGTTCTGGGAACATTTTAGATACAATATGTCAACATTTTAAACTGGGAAAATTTTAGAAAATGTCTCTAGATTTCTAGGCTATAAAAATTTTAGGCACTGCCCCCTTGAAGAAATCAGAAGCAGCAGTACTTCATGTAGTCAACAGCAGGAGATACCTGTTCACTACCATCTCCATGTATTTTCTTTTAATATTTACACACCTCTAAGGGAACATTTCATGCAAAGATGGGCTCAATAAAGGACAGAAATGGTACGGACCTAACAGAAGCAAAAGAGATTAAGAAGAGGTGGCAAGAACACACAGAAGAACTATACAAAAAAGATCTTCACAACCCAGATAATGAAATGGTGTGATCACTCACCTAGAGCAAGAGATCCTGGAATGCAAAGTCAAGTGGGCCTTAAGAAGCATCACTACGAACAAAGCTAGTAGAGGTGATGGAATTCCAGTGGAGCTATTTCAAATCCTAAAAGATGATGCTGTGAAAGTGCTGTACACAATAAGCCACCAATTTGGAAAACTCAGCAGTGGCCACAGGACTGGAAAAGGTCAGTTTTCATTCCAATCCCTAAGAAAGGCAATGCCAAAGAATGCTCAAACTACCACACAATTGAACTCATCTCATACGCTAGCAAAGTAATGCTCAAAATTCTCCAAGCCAGGCTTCAATAGTACGTGAACCATGAACTTCCCAATGTTCAAACTAGATTCAGAAAAGGCAGAGGAACCAGAGATCATATTGCCAACATCTGGTGGGCATCAAAAAAGCAAGAGAGTTCCAGAAAAACATCTGCTTTATTGACTATGTCAAAGCCTTTGACTGTGTGGATCACAACAAACTGTGGAAAATTCTTCAAGACATGAGAATACCAGACCACCTGACCTGCCTCCTGAGAAATGTGTATGCAGGTCAAGAAGCAACAGTTAGACCTGGACATGGAACAACAGACTGGTTCCAAATAGGAAAAGGAGTACGTCAAGGCTGTGTACTGTCACCCTGCTTATTTAACTTATATGCAGAGTACATCATGAGAAACGCTGGGCTGGATGAAGCACAAGCTGGAATCAAGATTGCTGGGAGAAATATCAACAACCTCAGATATGCAAATGACACCACCCTTATGGCAGAAAGCGAAGAAGAACTAAAGAGCCTCTTTATGAAAATGAAAGAGGAGAGTGAAAAAGTTAGCTTAAAACTCAACATTCAGAAAACGAAGATCATGGCATCTGGTCCCATCACTTCATGGCAAATAGATGGGGAAACAATGGAAACAGTGACAGACTTTATTTTTTTGGACTCCAAAATCACTGCAGATGGTGAGTGCAGCCATGAAATTAAAAGATGTTTGCTCCTTGAAAGAAAAGTTATGACCCACCTAGATAGCATATTAAAAAGCAGAGACATTACTTGGCCAACAAAGGTCTGTCTAGTCAAAGCTATGGTTTTTCCAGTATGGTTTTTCCGTATGTATGGATGTGAGAGTTGGACTATAAAGAAAGCTGAGTGCCGAAAAATTTATGCTTTTGCCCTGTGGTGTTGTAGAAGACTCTTGAACATCCCGTGGAGTGCATGGAGATCCAACCAGTCCATCCTAAAGGAAATCTGTCCTGAATATTCATTGGAAAGACTGATGCTGAAGCTGAAACTCCAATACTTTGGTCACCTGATGCGAAGAACAGAGTCATTGGAAAAGACCCTGATGCTGGGAAAGATTGAAGGCAAAAAGAGAAGGGGACATTAGAGGATGAGATGGTTAGATGGCATCACCAACTCAATGGACATAGGTTTAAGCAACCTGGGAGTTGGAGATGGACAGGCAACCCTGGCATGCTGCAGTCCATGGTGTCGCAGAGAGCTGGGACACAACTAAGCGACTGAACTGAACTGAAATGAGATTGGAAATCATTAATGAACCATGAAGGAGCGTGAGAGTAGAAAAAAATAAATGAAAATTAACCGAAAATTTCAGGGGCACTAAAACTGTTTTGATCCCAATGAGTGTGACTGAGCTCAGAAAGTATTTCTCAAATAAATTTATTCTTGATTGAATCCTAAATCTTTTTCTCTTTAAACCTCATTGCCATAGAATTCAAACACAACCAAAAGAGTAAATATAAAACAAATCTCAGAAGAATGAAAAGCCATCACTGGGGTGTTACAATAATAATATTGTATTACTATACGATAATAATTATATTATCATATTATCACGCAATAATTATATTATTAATATATCATTATGTAATAATAATATTACAAGAGAACCTATCACAGAAAGTATATCATCATGCCAATTTAGACATATAACCCACTACACATGCTCAGCTGTTTAGGCATCACACACACCAACAACAGTGAGTGACAGAAACACCTACCAATATCGCCATGGTGAGCTCTTCTCTAATGTCTTCCAGGGCACCAATATCTGCCCATGTCACATTAGGGACAGTGGCGAAGCCCTCCCTTTTGGCAGAGGGTTGGACAGAGGACAGAGCAACCATGAAATCATTCAACTCAATGCACAGTCCTTTAAGCTGCTCCTCTGAGAGGGCATCCTGGTTCCTTAGCAACCCCAGCAGCCTTTGCAATTCTTCCTTAAAAGAAATAAATGAGGGAAAAACTGAAAAACGACAAAGCTTGTTGAAAAAGTTACTGTTTACATTTTTAAATATTCTTAGTGCAACATTTCTGTAAGGTATATAAACCTCTATACATTTTAATAATTTTCTTCATTGATACAGGTCATTTCTTTTGCTCTGATTTAGCCAAGAAAAGATCTATTGACTATTAACAAAGATAAGAAGAAGAATTTTTATATATTACACTAGGGCATGAGCAATTGGTAAATATTCATTTCAACCACTACATATTTCCAATTTTCACTTTTTACATATTCAAGAAACAGGTGAATTTTGATAAAGTTACTCTGGTGGCAGTATGATTTTATAATACAGTTCTTTGATGATTTATCAACTAAGTAGAAAGCAGGCGATTTTCCTTGTACTAATGAATCTTGAACTTCAAAGGCAGATTTCTTGCTCTTTGAGGAATAGGAAAAGAACAGGTATAAAAAGTAACCTAATAATTCAATTAATAAAATCCTAATTTACATGCACTATTATAAAAGGAATAAGTCTATTATTATTCTTAACAGATATCCTTTTGGTTCCAAATGAGTAAGGAAGAAACAAATGATTTGAAAACCAAAGACCTGGATCTAAGCCCCTGCTCTGGAAAGTAGAGGCCACGTGGCCTCAGGCAAGTCACCATCTCTTAAGCGTCATTTCTTTGACTATAAAATGGGGTCAGGAGTGGTATTTATTTGTCAAAGTTATATGGATCAAATTATATAAAATCCCCCTGTTCAAGCTATAAAATGCTATATGAATGTTATATTGAGTTTTCATGACTCACAAGACTCAAAATTTTAACAGATCTCAGATGATAAACATCCCTCTCAAATTCCCAGCACTGTCCCCAAGCTGAAGATAGGGCCGAGGATATGGTTATGTCAGCAGACTATTTTAGTCAGCCTAACAAAAGATGACCTGGAATTATAACCAAATGTCAATGTTATCACAAGAGTTGACAAATTTTCTGGAAAGAATTAGAGAGTAAACACCAGAGAGTCAGGCAGTCTCTGCTGTACAGACACTTATGAGAATCCTGCTGTTGCGTATGAAAAACAGCAGAAGACTCTACATCAATAAATGAGTATGGTTATGCTCCAACAGAATTTTAATTTATAAAAACAGGAGGCAAGTAGGTGGGCCACAGCGTGCCAGTGTGGCAACCCCTGCTCTAGATTTCATAATCATTATTAGAAAGGGAATTTATTTGGAATCAACTGAAAAATGTAAAACTACTTGTACTTCTGAAATTTTACATATACTGGGTTTAACAGTTATTTTAAAGACACAGTGCCAGTGAAACAGAAAATCACAAACTCTAACCACACTGACACCTGCCTGCTTTTAAGGTTAACACAAATTAGAAACATTTAAATGACAGTTTGTCATTTAAGGTACCTGTACAGAAAGCAGCTGGGTTTCAGAAGTGGGTTCAGTTCCAGTCCCCTCTTCCTGGTCTCCGTCAGAGGGTGAAGCTTCAATCTCAGGATTTTTCCTGTGCTGCTCCTGAAGCTCCATTAAGACCCTGTTGACGGCACACACGGCTGCCTCTCGGCAGAGCGCCATCAGGTCAGCACCAACGAAGCCCGGCGTGAGGTGTGCCAAGTGACGAAAATGAAAAGTTTCGGGAAGTCTTAGTTTTCTGCACAAAGTTTGAAGTATTCTGTGGAAAAGACAAGGAAAAGAAATTGAGATTCCTAATCTACTAGTAAAAATAAGTCACCAAATATATTTATGGGGATGCCCCTGGTGGTTCAGAAGTTAAAATCTGCCTTGCAATGCAAGGGACATGGATTTGATCCCTGGTCGGGGAACTAACATCGCACATACCACGGAGCAACCAAGTCTCCACACCATGACTACTGGGCCCCCCGCCACAACTAGAGTCCATCCACCAAAACAATAAAGATGTTGTGTGAGACAATGAAGATACCGGGCACTGCAACTAAGACTCGACACAGCTGAATAGTAAAGCCATATACACTTATGGAAGTCCTTCTTCTCTGTCAGTGGTATTATAACGGACACAATTTAAGCTCAAACAGTTCACTTATTCAACAAATGCTAACTCTCTAATATATACCCCACCTTATTCTATTAGGGATTAAGGTATAAATATCTGTTGTATTAGAAAATAGAATAAAAAAATAGGTTTTTAAAAAATATTCTGCCTTTAAGAGTTTGACAGTATTACAGAAGAAATAAGATAAATGATTTATAAGAATATAAGGTAAATTCTTTCAGAGTAAATTAAACGGACATCTGCCAGAAATAAAAAAGCCCCTAAACTCAAACCATTAGCTTTATTCAACACGAAAAGTTATGTTGATACAAACTTTAATACCCAATCCTATATTAGGACAGTTATTTCTCCAACTTCATCTTTATTTACTGCTGATCCCCTGTATTGCATGTGTGAGAAACTCTGCTCAGCTCAACTGGCAATATGGTATGTGGCAATGAAATGTGGACTTCTGGATAATTATTATCACTAAGGGAATACTTAAAATAATTTCTTGCAACAATGAATAAAAGTTAAAAATAATAAAGATATTCTGGACAAAAGGTCTGATACCAGACCACTTCAGTCTGAATGTCAGCTCTGCCACTCTGTGTTACTTCATTTCTGTAATTTAGTTTTCTCATCTGTTAAATATATAATAGCACTTAATCATAGGGATGTTAGGCGAATATATGCAAAGGTGCCAGAACACTGGCTGATGCATAGTAAGTTCCCAATAAATGTTCATTATTATTATTTAGATATTGTGATATTATATATTAACCTGGACAAAATAATATGTTGTGAAATTTCCAAATTTGTAAGAGAAACTAATAGTTTAAAATGCCAAGCTACTGGACAGCAAGTTACAGAAAAATCCTTTGGGATCATGTAAGTGAACAAAACAGAAGCAGATGAACATCACCGACAAACGAAAATTGTCACTTAGATACTGTAAATAATAGGAGTGAAGAAAAAGTTCCATTATAGAACTACTTCCTGGGGTTCCCTGGTGGCTCGGTGGTAAAGACTCTGATTGCCAACGCAGGAGACACAGGTTGGATTCCTGATCTGGGAAGATTCCACACGCTGTGGCCCCACTAAGCCCATGTGCCACAAATACTATGCCTGTGCTCCAGAGCCCAGGAGCTCCAATTACCCAGCACATGTTCTGCAACTACTGAAGCCCACAACCTAGAGCCCCTGCTCCACAACAAAAACCCACAGCAATGAGAAGTCTGCATGCCACAAGTAGAGGAGAGCCTGAGCAGCAACCAAGACCAGCACAGCCAAAAATAAATTAAAAAAATAAAAAGAACTACTTCCTCAAAATACAGATCTAATTTGCTACTATGCGTAAGAATACTAAGAAATTTAGCATGTTAAAGAAAAAACAGCTAACATAAAATAAATATCATCATTTTTTCAGTAATAGTCTACTAAAAAAATGTAGTTTTGGTCATCATACTATGCAAAATCCTCAGATGGTAAAGAACCCACCTGCAGGAGACCAGGGTTCAATCCCTGGGTTGGGAAGATCCCCCGGAGAAGGGAATGGCAATCCAACTCCAGTATTCTTGCCTGGACAATCCCCACTGACAGAGGAGCCTCGGGGGCTATAGTCCACGGGTCACAAAGAGTTGGACACAACTGAGCGACTAACACTAACATGGAAACTTCAAAGGAGGAGAAAACTACCATTAAGAGATTTCCAGTTTTAAGACAACTGAGTAAAGAAGCTGAAGCGGAAAAAACAAAAGAAGCTGGAGCAGATGGCCTGGACTCAGAAACTGAGGTCTACACTGTCTACAGCAGATAGCTAGCCCTGAAAGAAAAGTCCTGTAGCATCAGTTCCCCTATTCTGTATCGACTGATGGGTCACTCAGGTCAGCCCAGATTCAAGAGGAGGAGTCAAGGACCCACCTCCCACTAAGAGAGGGCCGAGGATTTACAAACACATGCTTTAAAACTGTCACAAGAATGAACCCCCATGTTTTTATCACTCAGTTTCAATAATTATCAACATTTTCAGAGACTTATTTATCCCCCACTTTCCCCCCACCCCCAGAGTGTTTTAATGCAAATCCCAGGCATTATGTCATGTCAACTACAAATATGTCCATGTCTAATGAATAAAGACTTTTTAAAGGAGATTAAAGGGACATACCAACTGCATAGCAGTTTTTTTTCTTTTTTATGGTCACAAATTAGAAGACTTAAATTTTTTTTTTCTTATAATATTTCTTTTTTTTTTCTTTTTTTTTTCTCATTTATTTTTATTAGTTGGAGGCTAATTACTTTACATCATTGCAGTGGTTTTTGTCATACATTGAAATGAATTAGCCATGGATTTACATGTGTGCCCCATCCCGGTCCCCCCTCCCACCTCCCTCTCCACCCGATCCCTCTGGGTCTTCCCAGTGCACCAGGCCCGAGCACTTGTCTCATGCACCCAACCTGGGCTGCTGATCTGTTTCACCCTAGATAATGTACATGTTTCGATGCTGTTCTCTTGAAACATCCCACCCTCGCCTTCTCCCAGAGTCCACAAGTCTGTTCTATACATCGGAGTCTCTTTTTCTGTTTTGCATATAGGGTTATCGTTACCATCTTTCTAAATTCCATATATATGTGTTAGTATGCTGTAATGGTCTTTATCTTTCTGGCTTACTTCGCTCTGTATAATGGGCTCCAGTTTCATCCATCTCATTAGAACTGATTCAAATGAATTCTTTTTAATGGCTGAGTAATATTCCATGGTGTAAATGTCCCACAGCTTCCTCATCCATTGGTCTGCTGATGGGCATCTAGGTTGCTTCCATGTCCTGGCTATTATAAACAGTGCTGCGATGAACATTGGGGTGCACGTATCTCTTTCAGATCTGGTTTCCTCGGTGTGTATTGCATAGCAGTTTTTAAAAAATGAAAGATTAAAAGAAAAATGGACATTTGGGGGCAACTGGGAAAATCAGAATAGATTGTACCAAGTAATATTATTATCAGTGTTAAGTTTCTTTACTGTGGAAAATGGTATAGTTACAAAGAAGGATTTACAGCTAAAGTACCATGATTTCTTCAACTATCCTTCATATGGCTGGCAAAAAATAAAGATATATACACATATGCACACATATACACACAAGATGTTTCTACAAAGAGTGAAATTAAACATAGAAAAATGTTAACAAGTAGTAAATTCAGCTAAAGGACATACAGATATTCATTGTATTTATTGTATTATTCTTTCAACTTTTCTGTAGGCTTGAATATTTTCAAAATATGACTACCTAGGAAAGCCCTTTATGGCCTTTGTTGATGATGGAATAGTGGATCAATGAACAATATATTTTATCTAGTAGGATGGTGGGCTTTACTGTGTCTATGTCTCTATCATTAAGTTTGGCACTTAACCAAAAAAGGATTTGAAAAAGGATACAGGTCTTATTTCTCTTTCTGTACTGTAAACATCCTAAAAACAAGGATTTAGAATTCTTTATATTCCTTACATTACCTATCCTAGTAGTATACATATACTATATGCTTAATACACGTTTCCTAAATAAATACAAACAACTTAACTTGAATAGCTGAGTAACCATTTAAAGATTATATTAATATATGTGAGAACACAATGAGCATACCTATAGATGACGCTGAACAGCTGAAGAAGCAACTGCCAATCAATCAAAAGCTGAAGCCACATTAAGTACTAGCAAGAAGGGAAGGATGACCTCTTCTTCCTAATGCTTTCTCCTGTCCACTGTGTCTCCTGATCAGTTTTATGTTCAGCATTCATGAAGTCTCCTGTTCATCTCTACCCTTCTTCCCTGTCCCCATGCCTATCCTTTCACTATATACTACTTTCCCTAAAAGCCGCTGGTGATGGTGTACAGCAATTTATTGTATTGTATTGTATTGTAACAATACAGCAATTCATTGTATTGTAACAATACAGCAATTGTTATTAACTTAAGCTGAAAGTCATTATAAATATGGTATTTCTGAACAGTTCTTTACTAGATCTCCCTTACTCCACTGCCTGAACACTGCCTCCCCAGATGTTTTTGTTATTGAGACGCTGCTGGTGGACACCTCTTTGTTCTATGGACGTTCAAACCCAATTACTAGGAAAGGGTGGTCTTAACAGCAAACAGCTTTCAACTCTCTAGCTGCCACATAATATCTATCAAGGAACTTACGACTTTAGGCAAATTAGTGCAACAGGTTAAAATATGGTACTCAGACTTAACCTACATGTGGACCAGTGAGCACTAGTCCATAGCTGTAATCACTCTCCCTAGGCTGACTGCCACATAAAAAACACAAGACACTGTTAATAAGACAGACAAATGAATGTGGATACATAAATCCATTATCACTACCGAAAAAGCAGCCTAAAATAACTGCCGTATTAGTGAGTCAATTGTTTTCTTAAGCATTAATTGAATGTGGGCTTTTTCCTTTCCAAATCAATTTCACTGGCACGTAAAGAAAGAGACAAGAGAGAAAGAAGGCTACATGGTATTTTTCACCCCTCATTTTCAAAGCATGCAGTTCAGATGACATAGTGGCATACAAACTTCATTCTCTAAGAGTATACCTTTCTCTGGAGGCTTCATCTGGGATACCCAGGCATATTTCTCGGTCGAACCTTCCTGCACGTCTCAAAGCAGGGTCTAAGGAGTCTGGTCGGTTGGTAGCTCCAATGACTAGGACCCGAGCTGTAGCGGCCACATTATTCAGATCTAGTAAGAACCAGACAGAGCACGAATGGTAAACAAGACACCTGACATTAAGGATAATAATGTTATCCAAGTTATTAAGTGGTTAGACAGAAAGTATTAGACAATGACAATTAAATATTACATATATGAATATAAAACTAACATTTATTAAATGTCTAATACGTGAAAGATATGAGGAAAATACAAACCTTGTTCTCAAGCAGCTCTATCTATTTGAAGCACAGTAAGTATAAACAGAGCACCGCAGTAATACAATGGAAGATATTATGAACTCAGACTGAAGAATCAGGGAGAACTTAGGGAGCAGGCAACATTCCAGAAAGGCTTAAAGGGTGAATAGGCTATTTTTAAGCAGATATAGACGAATGAAATTCTACACGGAAGAAAGAGAATGACTGAAAGCACAGAGGTACAAACAGGTATGCCAAGTTTAGACAGGGTGAGTGGTCCACCATCAGGAAGTCTGGGCAAGACACAGCAGCATGTGTCTCAAACACACTCACGGCACTGAGATGGGGGAATACAATACAGTCTCCAGTTGCTCTGGCTTAATCTACATACAGATTTTTATTAATGAATGGAACACAGGGCCTAAAGTGTGTCTTTCACAAGTATTATTTCTCACAACTGAACCAGAGTGGACTAACAGAGAGACTGAGGTTTACATACCAACCCTGCGCCCCCACAACACGCAGGTAATGGCTGACGAAGTCCTCTAACAGTCAAGTCATGGGAAGTTCATAGGACATTCTTTTGCCAACAGAAGCCACGAAAGCTTTTTCTGTTAAGATTTGTGTTTTGAAAAGATAACGCTAATAATTTTGAATGGAGTAAAGAGGAATAAATGCAAGAGTTTGCTGTAATTTGAATACAATAATCAAGTAAAAGATGAGTGAAAGCAGGCACATAGCAAATAAAAAAAGAAAATCCCAATTTAAGGTCCAAGTTGTAGATGAAATCAAAAGCACTACACAAATGAGTCAATGTGAAGGGGGAGAAGGAAGAGACAAAGACAACTCAGTTTAGAAGCTGTTAGCTTAAATGTGGAATACAGAAGGGGGGTCAGACAGTACAAAGGGCCACAGGGGAAGCCAGTGGACCCAGTGAGCATGAGGGACGTAGGACAGTTACCTGCAAATATCTAGCAGGCAGCGGTGAACATGGGTTGGAAGTTTATCAGAAATGAAGGTGAGAGATGTAATTTGAAAATTTTCCAAAGATGAGCTGACCAGGAGATAGCTGGAAGTAGGTAGAGGGCAAGAAGAAAAGAAGATCAAGTGTAAAACCTTATGGAATATCTTTCTTTAAAGGATGGGGAAAAGGAGGCAAGCAAGAGAAAGTGGTAGAGAGCTATCAGAGAACAGGAGGACAGAGCGTGTCATCAGTCAAGGGTGCTGACAACTACAAGGACAAGGTAACCACAGTATCAAATGCTCCCAAACCCACTGCTAACACTCACTGGGTGCTTGTCCTGGGCCAAGCACTAGACTAGGTACAGTCCCTTCCACCAGTTAACAACTGTAAGAGGTGGGTTCAGAGGGGTGAGGGCTAAAAGCACACTCAAAGATGTGGCCAATGGTAATCGTCAACGACCTTTCTGGGATTAGTTTCAGTGAATGGCAGAGGCAGAGAGACAACTACAAGGGTGGGATTACAGAACAGAACCAAATTAGAAACATTTAGAAAAAAAAAAGTTAGTTGGCAGTTATTACTCTTAGGATAAAGAAAATACGCATAAGGTATATCTTTAAGTGAGACAGGAAAGCTCTTTAATACTTTTTGAAAACTGAAGAAAAGGAGTCAGCTAAAAAAAGAGACTCATGCTACAAAAGGAGATCTGTGAACAAGCAGAACTATTATATTTTATAGGTAACAAGGTGACAGCCAGTAATTGAGGTAGCACCATGAGTTACAAACTTGCAGTCACAGAGAGATGTTCTTACACTCTGAACCTTCTCTGCACTAATGCTGGTACAGAGCCAAAGCTGCTCCCCCGCTGACTCAGGGGTGCTTCCATTCTCAGAGCTGCAAATAATGACCAAGGGTGGCAGACAGCTTCCTTCTAGATCATGTCGCTCAGACAATACAGTCTTGGTGATGAGTTCTGAACACAGCAAGGGTTAGTAACAAAACTCAAAAAGAACAATCATGGAAATCTGTTAAATCTTCAGAAATGAAAAAAATCCTTCCCCAGGAAATCAATACTTAGCCACATAAAGGTTGCTTCAAAAGGTTCTAGAAAGATAAAAATCAGACCTCAGCTAGGATTGGCCACCCACTATAAGACAAACGTCATTCCTTTTCTCCCTCTTCTAGAGGATTTGATCATTTTAAACTAAAGTTATATTAGCCAAAAGAATGAATTTCTGATTATTAAAAAAAATGAAGCTTCAGTTCTTTTTACACAGAGTTAATTAAAAAACTGGTTAACATGTTTCTTGGGTAACAGCTCTCACAAATAAAGCATTCGTGGGTACGTCATTAATTGTATATGTGTAAATAAATATCTGGATTCTAGTCGATACTTTGCCAATGACTCAGTCTGCATCTGGCCCTCAGCTCTCTGTGTATCAGTTTTCTCATGAACAAATGATATTTTTAACATCCTTCATAGGTCTTAGTAATTAAAATTATGTCTGAGTTTCGTTATTAAAATTAGGTGAAATTAGAATTTTTTTTAAAGTGGTCTCAATTATCTTGTAACATATTACTTAAGAGTTTCAACTTACTACAATTTCAGATTTATAAACTCTGAATAAGGTTTTTACAAAATTCTCAAACTGTAGGAAGAAAAATGACTACATGTCACAGGTTATTTGGGGAGACAAAAAGAAACAAGCCCCCCAAACTGAGTTCCTCTGCAGAATTTATGACTGACATCTCTATCCAAAACTTTATCTCCCGTCTTGTCCCCCTCAGCACTGAGCAGTTATCAAAGGAAAGGCAGGACTGAGACCAAGCAAGATTCTGCAGGGCTCTCCCGGGTACAAGCCCCTCCAGGTCCTCTGCTTCTTGCCTGGTCCTCCAGAGTTCTAAAAAGTGAACTCAAGCAGCTAACAATTAGCACAAGGGAGTCACAGGAAGGGATATATAGACAACAATCTGCAGGGATCTCTGAGTTGTTCGATAGAAACTAAGACCCTCTACCCAATGGAGCACAGTGACTACACGCTGACCATAAGCACAGAGACCCCAGACTGGCTGATGATTAAGATTCCCGAAACATCACCATGCCACCAATCAGTCAGAAAAATGTCCCAAGAGCTGATCTCATGCACCCTGAAACCCTCACCTCTAATGCTGCCTTTAAAAACCCTAGCCGAACAGCATCAGGGATTGGGGTCTTTCAAGCATTTGCTACCTATTCTTCTTGCCTGGCGCCCTCCAATGAACACTGTACTTTCTTTCATCACAACCCAGTGTCATTAAATTGGCTTTGCTGGGCGTCATACAACTGGATCCAAGTTCAGTTCAGTAATAGGTTGACTATGTAAATTGAATTGTTTACTGTTTTCCCTATTCTGGTTTAAAAAAGAAAACCTTAAAACACACACAGAGACACACCAAAAACTTCAATGAGCTTTCAGTAATGTTCTAGTAATAAGTAGTCTGCTTAATCCCTATACTTAGTCATTTTTTTCACATTTTAATATCTCTGAAATCAGAATGCTTATACTATCAATGTGATAAGCATTATGTCATATTCTGATTGGTGTTATGTCTTTTTCCTTCTCAGATGTACATAAAATGATGGTGTATCTTATGATAACAAATTAGCTTCAATAAAATATGGTAATTCATTGGGGTCTGACAGAAAACAAAATTCTGTAAAGCAGTTATCCTTTAATTAAAAAATAAATTTTAAAAAATGGTCAATAAATGAAAAAAAAAGGTCAGAACATAGGCCTTAAGACATTGCAAGAAAATTTTACATAAGAATAAAACAGCAGAATAAACAACCTACAACCTACCATCACAAGAAATGCAAATTACATACTATTTCAAATTTTCTTATGTACACAAAACATATGCTATTTTCCAGCAGGTAAGATTTAGTTTCAAAAGTTCTACTTGTGCTCAAACAAGTTACAGATAGGAAGGAACTGCAGTATATTTAACAAAGGATTTGTTTCTATAATATATTAAAATACAGTATTCACTAAAATTTTTAAAAATTCAATCAATGGGAAAAAGATGAAAAAAGGGATTTTGGAAAGAAAAGCCAAAAAATATGAAAAGATGATCTACATCAATACTAATCAGGGAAATGCAAGTAACAACAAACATACCACTTTTCATCCCTCAGATTGTCATAAACTAAAACAATTCAGTGTTGTGAAAAATCTGGAGGAAGGGTGACTCTCACATAGTACTGGTTGGAAGGCAATTTGCCATTTCTTATAACAATTTTAAATGTATAATCTTTAACCATTACCTCATCTTAGAAAAATTTGTGTACCAAAAAGACCCATTTAAGGATATCCCTTACAGTTCACTGTAAAGAAAAATCAAACAACTTGAATATCCATCAAAATGGAAATACCTAAGTACAATATAATGAATTTATCCTAAAGGATACCAAGCAGCAATTAAAAACAGGTAGATATAAATGGATTAAAATGGCAACATTTGGGCAGAAGGTGGGAGGGAGGGGACACATGTACACCTATGATTAATTCATTATGATGTATGACAGAAATCAAACCAATATTGTAAACCAATCAATTAAAAATAAATATTTCAAAAAATGGAAACATCTCCAAGATACTATTAGGATACAAAGAGTATAGAATAGTGTGTATGGTGCAGAGTATTGGAAAAAGCAACACAAGATTTTAGTGTATTTATATACGTGTGAAAATGCATTAAAAATAAAACCGTAAGATATACTCCAAAAATTAATGATATAATTTTTTATGAAAAGAAAAAGATTTGTTTTGTACTCTAAGTTTTATGCTACTTAAATATTTCATATCGTCACATCTTACAGTATTAAAAATAAAAACATTATCTCAAAGTGAATTCACTGTTTCAAACTCACCGTCCATGCAGGTTAGGAGCTGGGCTACAATTCTTCGCTCCATATCTTTTGAAGCAATTTCTCTTTTGGGGGTAATAGCATCAATTTCATCAATAAAGAGGATACATGGTGCATTTGACTAGAAATAAGAATATCACACACAAAAAATCATAAATGTAAATGTATAGATAGCATATTAAAAAGCAGAGACGTTATTTTGCCAACAAAGGTCCATCTAGTCAAGGCTATGGTTTTTCCAGTGGCCATGTATGGATGTGAGAGTTGGACTGTGAAGAAAGCTGAGTGCCGAAGAATTGATGCATTTAACTGTGGTGTTGGAGAAGACTCTTTACAGTCCCTTGGACTGCAAAGAGATCTAACCAGTCCATCCTGAAGGAGATCAGTCCTGGGTGTTCATTGGAAGGACTGATGCTGAAGCTGAAACTCCAATACTTTGGCCACCTCATGCGAAGAGTTGACTCATTGGAAAAGACCCTGATGCTGGGAGGGATTGGGGGCAGGAGGAGAAGGGGACAACAGAGGATGAGATGGTTGGATAGCATCCCCGACTCAATGGACATGAGTTTGAGTAAACTCCGGGAGTTGGTGATGGACAGGGAGGCCTGGCGTGCTGCGGTTCATGGGGTCACAAAGAGTAGGACACGACTGAGCGCCTGAACCGAACTGACAGACTGATTCCCTATACTGGTGTGGTTAAGTATATATGTTTTTTTCAATCTTAAATTTCAGAGACCATTCACCAAAAGAACTACCCTAAAGAAAGCAGTTTACCACGTATATTATCTAGGGTGAAACAGTTCACCAGCCCAGGTTGGGTGCATGAGACAAGTGCTCGGGCCTGGTGCACTGGGAAGACCCAGAGGGATTGGGTGGAGAGGGAGGTGGGAGGGGGGACCGGGATGGGGAATACATGTAAAAAAAAAAAAAAAAAAAGATACACTATGGTTGTGATAAAAAAAAAATAAATAAATAAATAAATAAATTTAAAAAATAAAAAATAAAAAAAAAAAAAAAGAAAGCAGTTTACATGTATCTTATTGTACTGACTTTCACCAGGAAATGGGGAGACTGGAAAAGAGGGGTACTAGACCACATGTTTATTAAGTACTGGCTATTACACATCATACCAGCATAGCACTGGTTCAGAGAGAGCTAGATAAACACAAAACTAATGGCTAATTTTGCCCTTTGTCTCTTTTATCCTCATTCATCATTTGTCTTCACCATAAACACATATGTAGTTACCTGTCTTTCTGCTGTATGCCAATTAACAAAGAAATCAAGCTCATTTTGGATTTTGGAAAACAGGTAACACCTTAAAGAATGTAGCTTTGCTCTGCATAGTACCCTTTCCACCCTCCACTGCATCTTCCATATGTGTCCACAGCTTTTATAACGCCAGTCTATGTTTAGCTCACAGGAAACATCCTGACCAGACCCACCTGTGAATGACCACAGGAGGGAAGAAATGAACACATTCCCTCTGGAGTCTGACTGGAACCCGGACTTTACCCCCCCGCCCCCCCACCCCCCGCTTTTTGAAATAAAAGAAACCTATATTCTAACCCAGGGAGGATGGTTTAGGATACACTAGTCTATCTTCTCGGTCTGCTGCCTTTCCAAATAAAGTCACTATTCCTTGCCCCAACTACTTGTTAACAATTTATTGACCTGCCACAGCAAGCAATACAGAGCTTGGACTAGGTAACAAATTTTGCTACTTTCTTACTATTTAAAAAACATTTTCAAGTACTGGTAAAATATACTCTGTCTTCTTGGCTTTGCATTTCAGATGCACTGGCCATGTTCACCAGTCCCAATGTATTTGGGATACATATGATGACAATGTAAAATTAAACTTATCAGTATTTTTTACTTCTTAACCACAGTGATAACTAGTGATTACTCAAATGAGCATGGTGTCATAGCCAGTATTTACACGGCTTTTGCTGTGTGTTAGACACTACATTAAAAATTTACATGAACCCTTTAATACAATCAACAACCCCATGAGATTTGATCAGTATTATTTGCTAGGAAGGAAACTCAGGGTTAGAGTGGTTAAATCTCTTGCCCAAGATTACACAATTAGTATGTGGTGGCCTAAGGATTTGAACCTCTGTTTCTAACTTGAAAGTACATTTAACCATAACACTTTACTGAAGATAAAACTTCAACAGAATACAAATGTCATCTTCCTTAGAAGTTCTTAAGCAGCCAAATTTTAATGAGTTATAATCAGAATAAAACCCAATCTGTAATTCTTCTGATAACAGAATCATCTTTTCACAGCTTCAGTTTTGCAAATAGAGAAGAGTTTATGCTGGCAATTCTATGGTTGCTTTTATAATAATACTTAAATGTTAAAAATGTTCACACTGCTTACAGGTTGTCTGGGCAAACCTAAGTTGAGGAAAGTGAAAGTAAAAAAAAAAAATCACAAAGATAATCTATTCTCAGCATATTGCTATTGGGTATGATAGTCAAAACTTCTCACCAATTATGGTATTTTCAGATTAAACAGATTATTTTACCCAACAATCTGTCAATTAATCTACTTTAAACATTTAGTCATCATGAGGAACAAATTACCATGTTTAGAAAAGAATGGCCAGTGAATATGTTAACAAATACCAACCTTAAAGAGAACAAGAACTTCCATATATCCTTCTATGATCTGACAACCTGACATTAAGAGTCATTAGCTGACTCACCACAGCTTGTTCAAATAGTTCTCTTAGCTTCTGTTCGGATTCTCCAGACACTCCAGATACAATCTCCGTAGCAGCTACTTTCAGAATTGGAAGATCAAGTTCCTAGGTACAAATATATCATAAAATGACTAAATTGTCAAAGTTTCACTTACCTACTTTTTCTTAGTCCCTCTCTCAAAATTACATTTTTTAAATGACCAATTTTCTGAGGAACGTCATATCTTTTTGTACTGTTCCAATGAAAAACATTACTTAAAAATCTGAAATTTTATCCAAACACATTGACTGGATACCTTCTACTTATTTTTACTTTACAGATATCATAAAACTGTTATTATCTCTTCTGAATAAAGGGTCTTGAATCTTAAGAAATATATCTGCCCTTAGAGCTGAGCCAACACAAATTCATGTTATTTATCTGCTGGGTATGAAACAGCATGGATTGTGACACAGCCACTTCCCACACACCCACTGGCGCGTCTCCCACGGAAGAAACCCAGAGAAACAGCCAGTGACAAGTCAGAGGCAGACTCTTAAAGGAAAAGAAACTACCAATGTCCCACCAATAAAACTGGCAACCCTACTATTCTTCGGCCTATCTTGAAATGTCACTTCTTCAATGATATTCTCTTTAACCCTCATTCTTAACGTGGGTAAAATCAACAAACCAGCAACACACCACATAGCATTCTGCGCTTCTTCCGCCTCCCACTCAGTGTAAGCGTAACCATGAAGCAACATGTATTTGTGTGAAAGACAGTTTAATGTATCTCACATATTATCGAAAAATCCCTTAGATAAAAACTGAGTTTCTTGTACGTATCACTATATCTCAATGTATGGCATGCACTAGTCACAAAAAAGATTTATTTAACAAATGAATAAATGAGGCGAATCAATCAATTTCTCCTATAAAAACAACTTTCTTTCAAAGCACACTATCTATTAATGACTGACATAGTGTGCTGCTCTTCAAACTAAACTTACTTGGACATCTGCATTTTACAGTTTCCCAGAAACCTGATGGGGCTAAAATTAAAATTGCTTACTTTTTATTTTGCCGAGTATCTATTGCTAATCACCATTTTATTTTTCTAGTTCTACCACTTTATTGCTACCAACCCATCTCTCTCCACCCTCGTGCACACATGCTCAGTCATGTAATCCCATGGACTTCAGCCCGCCAGGCTCCTCTGTCCATGGACTTTTCCAGGCAAGAATACTGGAATGGGTTGCCATTTCCTTCTCCAGGTATTATCACCATTTTAGAAAGGACATTTTTACACAAAAAAGGATAAAAACATGACTCTGGATGGAAATTCTGAATAAATCTGGTTCTGTGTAAAATATGATCCTCCAGTTTTATTTTATTGCTCTTGAAAACCACTCTTGAAGGGAAAGAACAGTGACTAAAAACAAGAACTAAAACAATGGTAAGAACTAGAACTAAAACAAGAACTACGGTTAAAAAAATGGGCTCTTTATATTATTTGGCTTCCCACCCAATTCATGCCATATAATTGGATACATTAAAAAAAAAAAAAACAGCATCTCACAAATAGCAGCATAAAAAGAAGGAAGAAGGGATCAGTCCTCCTGAGAATACGCCAAGTCTACTTCAAGTTGACCAATGAGAAAAAATAAATACAAATAACAACCAAAGAACAAAAGCAAACAAACGTCAGTAAACCTCACCCCAGCAATCGCATGAGCAAGTAATGTCTTCCCACAGCCTGGTGGTCCATGAAGAAGAACTCCACGTGGGGGTATGACGCCCAGGTGGTGGTACACCTCTGGGTGACGCATGTGTATAAGCATCTTGCAGACCTCCTGTAGGAATAAACAGGAATGATGTCCTTCACAGCCCCAAAGAGGATGAATCAATGTGGAATGAAAGGACCTGTTCTTTGGAGCAGCAACATGCAGTAGACAGGCTTTAGACTTACAGCTGAGTTTGAATCCTGTTTTGGTAACTGTCACGAGGCATTAGCAATAACCCCTCTCTAAGCTTCCATTTCCAAAGGGTAATAATACCTACTTTGCAGAAAGAATGGATAGTAACTAGCATAGTAACTGAAACAGAGTAAACACAAAAAAACACCAACCATTACAACTGTTAAAGTGCTACTCCTGATAAAGCAAGTATCTTATGCACACTGTAACTGAAACGGTGAGAAAACTGAAGATACGTTTCTTGCATCCCTTGTGACCCTGAAAGGGACAAGTCAGGCTTGCCCTTCTCACCTTCCTGGCTTCCTTTTCTATACTCAGTTCCTATCAGATACAAAGAGGAAGGCTTCATTTGAATACCTGATTGGCAATACACCCATCTGAGGTAAAAATTCTGAATCTGAACTAACTTTTAATGTTGTATCATTGCCGCCAACGTCTTCGAACTTCACACTGGAGATCTGTAATTCTAGCCCCTTGGCTTTAGCTGGTAAACAAAAAAGGAGGAGGTGAAAAGATTAGTGATTCAGTAGTGACTCAGAACTATACTGAATAATCTTTACATAAACAAAGGTCCATTAGATACTGAAATATTTTCTAGTAAATGTCTCTACACATAGGAGGTTTCCCAGGCCAAGGAGCCTGGAATCACGATGTCTCGCTCAGAGTGAATACAGCCATCGCCACCCACAAGACTTCCATCTCACCTTTCTTCTGCAGGATAGCTTCTATTTCCCCATCTACTTCCTGGAGATCTTCTCTCTTCTTTTTGCCTCCTTTGCTGTTTAGCTTGCCTTTCCTTTTTTTGTTACTCTCCAGAAGAGAAGAATCTTTTGAATTCTGGAAAAAAAAATTAAATGTGTCATGCCTGAAATTAGGCCATTTAAAAAAAGGCGGGGTGGGGTGGGGGGGATTACTAAATAAATAAATAAATAAAAATACATTCCAGCCCTGGTACTTTCACCCGTTAGCTATTCCCAACATTTTAGCTTAAGGGTGACCTCTGCTGGGGATGTCCCTTTCCACAACCTTAATGCTCAGTTTACTTCCTAACACCTGAAAAACCTCCTTTCCAGATTCTTCTAGTTAGAATTAACCTCTTCTTCACACTCTCAGAACACTGAATTTGCAACTGTGGTAGAGCCTATACAATCTGCTTATAAATGAGTGGCTCACCTGTCTATGTTATTTCTTCCTCACTGAGTTGTGTGCTTCTGGAGTTAAGATAACAGCACTCATCTTTTATTTCTCACTGAGCCTTTTACGTAGTTGGTATTCATCTGATGTTTGATCAATCACTAAATTAAATATGACTAGAAAGGTACTCTGACAGCCACATAATTCAACATGAAAGTCAAGCTTTGTTCTTGACCGTGCCAACAATAATAATCTTTAAAGACAAAGTAAATAGATTTGGAAAAGGCCTATTAATAATTCAAAAGCAGAGGGGAGAGGCTTGCCAAAAACAGCTTGGTGCTTGAAAACCACTTAGAATGGCATCACCCGAGAGAAACATAATACCACCCACATGTGGGAGTTTAAATATTCTAGCTGTCATTGTTTAGTTGCTAAGACTCTTTTGTGACCCCATGGGCTGTAGCCCACCAGGCTCCTCTGTCCTTGGGGTTTGCTGGGCAAGAATACTGGAGTGGGTTGTCATTTCCTACTCCAGGGGACCTTCCCGACCAAGGGATTGAACCCGCGTCTCCTGCACTGGAAGACATATTCTTAACCACTGCACCAACAGGGAAGCCCAAATATTCTAGTAGCCACATTTAAAAACAGGAAAAAAAAGAAGTGAAAGTATTTTGTAAGAAAATAATAATCTATTTTATTTAACCAAATATATTCAAAACAGTATCAACATATAGTCAGTTTAAGAATTATTAATAAAACATTTTACACTGTTTTTACAATAAGTTGTCAAAGTCCAGTGGATACTTTATATCTCCTGCACATCTTAATTCAGACAAAAAATTTTCACAGGAAATACTTGATGTGTTTATATTTTATAAAATCTACAGCTGAAAAAGTATATTCACATACCCAAGTTATTTAAAATATATGTAGATGTTTTCTAACTACTAAACTGATAGTTTTTACATTTAAATTAAAAATTCAGTTCCTCATTAGCACTAGCCACATTTCAGTGGCTCAACAGGCACAGGTAGCTAACATTTCCCACACCAGACAGCGAGATCCGGAGCACAAGTAGCCACTCTACTTGGGAGACAGATTGCCTTAAACCTCCTCTCTGCCAGGCATTAAAAGAATCAGGTAAGAATGATATCCGATGTGCACATTTTGCAATAATCCATCAAGCTTTACTTTTCTTTATATATGGTATATTCCAATTTAAAAAGATAAAAAAAGGGACTTCCCTGGTCATCCAATGGCTGAGACTCCTTGCTCCCAACACAGGAGGCTTGGGTTTGATCCCTGATCAGGAAACTAGATCCCACATGCTACAACTAAGAGTTTGCATGCTGTAACTAAGACCCAAAGCAGCTAAATAAATTTTTTCTAAGTTAATAAAAAAATTTCAAGTGTCTATTTATTTTATCCATTTTCATAGTGTATCTATTTAAGTTGGATCCCTCAAAGCATCATCCGAAACTAAAAATAAACCACACAGATATTTTAGCAGCTACCCTCCCTTCTGTCTACAATCATCAATTTTCTGTGATGCACACCAGAGGTAGTTACTTAACTTTCACTAATAAAAACAACTCAGTAAGTTTATCAGGCACTAATTCACAAACTAACAACTTCACATATTTTGGCCAGGGACACATTATTAAACAAAGTCCCTCCTCTCTTGGAGTTGCCATTCTTATACAACGACCCAAAAACAATTATACAAAGAGTCATTTTAAATACTTAAGATATAGTGTTTTTTTTTTAAGTACTTGAAAAAGTAGGATTAGGAAACAGAATATCCAACAATATGCTATTTTACATGTCCGGGAAGACCTCTCTGGGAAGATCACAAGTGAAACAAGATGTGAAGAAATGATGGAGGGACTTCCCTGGTGGTCCAATGGTGATGACTCCGAACTCCCAACAGAGGGGCACAGTTTGATTGATCCCTGGTGGGGGAACTAAGATCTCACATGCTGCACAGTGCAGCCAAGAATAAGAATCGATTTAAAAATTAAAAGAAGAAATGATAGAGTAAGCCACAGGAATCTCGGGAAAGATGCTTCAAACAGAAAGTACAAGTGTGATTGTCCCAAATGAGAGAAGGGTCGGCATATTCTAGAAACAGCAAGAAGCCCAGCTGTAGCTGAGGCCAAACTGGGAGGTGGGAGAGGAGGGGAACAGGAGGTAGGATTAGAGAGACAGCAGGGAGCCAAGGGCTGCCGACTGCAAGATCTCTGACTGAAGACTGAATGAAGCCACTGGAGGGCTTTTAATAAAAGAATGACAATCATCAGACTTAACTTGTAAAAAAGATATCTCTGTGTGTACAATAAACTAGGGGATCAAACACAGAAGCAGCTGAAGGTTATTTCAAAAGTTAAAGGAAGAAAGAGTAGAAGCCTGGACAAGGATGAAAAAGATGACCATAGTGGGAAGTGAGCAAATTCTATCTCAAGTTTCTAAGCCTTTTACAAAACACAAGAATCTACTTGGTATTACATTCAGTGAAAAGGGTGTAATGTATTCCAACTACATGAGGCTAAAATCCCACCATAAAAAATACCTCTATCTCAGAGATCAGCTTCTTATCATTACACTTCTCATCTGATAGATTCAAGAAAAAACTGTCCTTCTTTCCACCCGGGGTTTTGTCAATAAACCATCCTCCTTCAGAACCTCCGTCGGGGGTCTTTGAAGGAACGGAGCCTGTTCTGGAAGTTATCCGTGGTGATGAAGTAATGGTTTCTTTTTGTTCCATCTCAGGAGTACTTGAAACAGAATCAGGATTTCCTTTCCGATACAAGGAGAGCAGGGAACTGTTCATATGATTTGCTGACTGGCAGAAACATGATTTTAGAATAAGTCACTCAATAGGCACTCATGAAAGTTTGATTACCTGTATTAAGAAGTTTTCTATATTTTCTTCTCAATATCTTTTCCCAAAACAATTACAGTCAGAAAATGCAGGTGCTCACAATACAATACTTCACAAACATTTACTATTCAAAAAGATGTACCCCCTCCATTCCAAGTTAATGTACAAATTTATAATTGGCAAGTAAAACCAAGTAAGAAAGGTTGTTTCTAAAACACAGAAGTATAAAAATGAGCTGGTAGGCAATTACTATCCTATCAATTCAACTAGATCAAATATAACCATATCATCATGACTTTTTTGGCCATTCTCTTCCCTTCTTTTCCCCTGTGTAACAGGCTATACACACAAATACTAGAAGGATGGCCAACCCACGAGTTCAATGCTCCACACAGAAATATTCAATTATTCACTGATGAAGAGCTTCAAATTCTCTTACTCTATTCCGTACTGATCTTTTCTGAGGAGGATTCAAAATGATTTTCTAAAAATCAAAGGTCATTGGTTCATTAAATATCTGGCTTACCTGTGGGTCTGGGTAATCTTCCATACTTGAATCATCAGAATAGCTTTCAGCATACCTCAGTAAAAAGAAGAAAAAAATGTAAATGATTTTCTCCCACATCCTAAAAAAAATACTACCCAAAACAAGAAAATATAGTGAGGCACAATACTATGGTGGTAAAGAATCCAGGCTTTGGAATCAGAGAAATGTGGATTCAAAATACAGCTTTAAAAAAAAAAAATCCATCTTCACCAGATACTAGCTTTGTAACCTGAGCTTTCTTATCAATAAAATGGAGATTATAAATGATGTCTACCTCACTGGCTTATCGGACTTCCAGATGGCACAGTGGTAAAGAATCTGCCTGCCAATGCAGAAGATACAAGAGATACAGGCTGGATCCCTGGATTGGGAAGATCCCCTGGAGGAGGGCATGGAAACCCACTTCAGTATTCTTGCCTGGGAAATCCCATGGACAGAGGAGCCTGGCAGGTTACAGTCCATAGGGCTGCAAACAGTCAGACACGACTGAGCACGTACACACTGGCTTATCAGATGATTAAAGAAAAGCTTTAAAACATTGTTTTGCCCTACACTTCATGCTCCACAAAATTAATTATAAAGATTAAATGAAATACCACAGATAGAAGAAAAAAGTATAGGTAATTATTCTATATACTCTTGTGATAGAGGTCTAAGTATATTAGCATAAATCACAAAAGAACAGATTGAAAGATATGACTAAGTAAAGATGTAATTTTTCTAATTAAAAGATGTAATGTTTCTAATTAAAATAAAATGTAAATGGCAAACTGTGACAAGCATTTGTAATACATTTAAAAAGAGATACTATTTTACACAAAGAGCTCTGACAATAAGGAAAACTTAAATAGATCTCAAATGAAAAACAAAATACATAAATAAGCAATTCACAAAGAAAACACAAAATTAGTTATCGAAATATTACAAGTGAAAATAACACAATCAACTTTTTGCCTATAAAACTGGCAAGGATTAAATAATAGTATATAAAACTAGAACTGCAAGCATGTTGAGAAATGCACTCTTTATACAAAACTGTTGGGAATACAAACCAAGGCAACTTTTTTCAATGGCAACTCCGTATGTACCAGAAATCTCAAAAATACAAATTTTTTTATCCTAGAAATACCACTTTAGGACTTCAACATTAAAAAAGAAATCTGTACAAAGATATATACACTAAAGGATTATTTATTACATATACAATAGTGCAAAAATGGAAACAACTATATGTCCACAAATGTGGAACTAATTATAAGAACTATGGTAAAGCGAAATGAAAAAGGAGCAGCTATAAAGAACGAAAAGGAGTTATCACCCATAGATCCTACAGTTAACAAAAGGAAAACAAAAGAGTATCTGGAAAACTTTTATGTCAATAAATGTCACAAATTTTCAATGGCAAAATAGGTGAAATGAACAAATTTTTTTAAAAGTACAATTTACCAACGCTGATGTAAGAAAAAAAAAGGGGGGGGGGGGATGAGACCTATGTCTACCAAAATTAAATGTTATCAAACTCCTATCCACAAAAAAAAGACTCCAGGCCCAGATGAATTCTGGATGAATTCTAAGAAACGTTCCAGAACAAAATAACAGTAACATTATACAAACTTTTTCATAAACTAGAGACCAAAGAAAAACACACACTTTCCAACTAATATTATAAGGCCAGTATAATAAAAGTCTGAAGAGGTTAGATAAGTATTCTGCTGGAACTCATACCAAAACCTGACAAAGAGCAAAAAAAGAAAGAAAAATTTTGGATCAATGTGAATACAGATGTAAACATCTACAGAAAAAGATTAGTAAACAGAATTTCAAAATATATAAAAAAGATAATGTATTAGGACTAAGTAGGGTTTGTGGCAGGAATGCAAGAATGGTTTACCACTCAAAAATCAATAAAATTCATCAGATTCAGAGAATAAAGGGAGAAGTCCAATAATAAAACCCTTAAATATCCACATAAAAAGCATTTGACAAATGTTATATCTATTCACAATGAAAACTTTCAGCAAACTAGGAATGTTAGGAAACTTTCTCAACCTGATAAAGAACACCTTTAAAAAAACCCACAGCTAACATACATTTTGTTGCTTAGTCACAAAGTCATGTCCAACTCTTTGCAACTCCATGGACAGTAGCCCACCAGGCTCCTCTGACCTTGGGATTCCCCAGGCAAGAATACTGGAGTGGGTTGCCATTTCCTTTACAGGCTATCTGAAGTTAAAGCCTGATCATACCAAATGTCGGTAATGTGTAGAACTCTCACATGGTAACAGAGGAACCCTCACATACTGCTGATGCAAAGGTAAAATGATACAAACATTCTGGAAAAGAGTCTGGCAGTCTCTTATAAAGTTAAATATGCAGTCACCATATGACTCAGCTATTACGGATCCAGTATTAAGAAATGAAAACACTCCCCACAAAAATGCCAGTACATAAGTGATCATAATAGCTTTATTTGTAAAAATCAAAAAATGAAAACAACCCAACTGTCGGTTAATATGTAAGCAGATTTTAAAAAATAGTGGTATATACATACATACATACAGAGCAATAAAAAGCAAAGGAATTTTGATACATACAACACTGATAAATCTCAAACTCATTATCCTGAATGAAAGAATCTACATTTTTAAAGTATTAATGCATACTCTGCAATTCCACTTATACAAATTCTAGAAAATATAAACATACAGCGACAGAAAGCAAATCAAAGGCTACCTCAGAATAGGAATGGAAGGAAAAATAAACTGCAAATGGGTGCAAGAAAATTTGTGAAGGTGATGGATACACTTAGTATCTTGCTTAGGATAATGGTTTAATGAGTACATACATATGTCAAAACTCAACACACTGTACACTTTAAAAATGTACCACTAATTGTACGTCAATTATACTGCAATATAGTCATAGAAGAGTCAACAATACTACTTTTTTTTTTAATATTATTTCTTAAACAAAAAACTAATTGACATCTTTTTATATACCTGGTATTGTATTAGGACAGAGAAAAACAAAGCTAACTAGAAAGTTCTGTAAGTAACACAAATAATCTCATAGGCCACATGAAAGAAACGCTGTACTAAGTATCATTAAGGAAAAGCTGAGAAAGGAGTCCAAAAAGGCTTGAAAGGCAAGAAAATAACCTTTTGAAGGCTGACTCTTGAAGGTTGAGTGAAAGTTCAGGAAGGGGAAATGAACAGTCCAGCTACAGAAAACCACCCACACAAAGGCACAAAGAAAGAATCTAACCTCTCTGAGGAACAGGGAATACTCAGCATGTCTGAAATAAGTCTGGAGAGGTTTGGTAAGTATTCTGCAGGAACTTATTGGCAATGAAGAGCCAAGTTATCCCACCTGGAAGTTTTACAGGTAGGAATGTAACATGATGGGGTTAATGTTTTAGAAAAACCCTCCACTCCATAATCCTTACTCATTATCCTCTTCACCGTGTCTTGCTCTTTTGGCCAGATGTTCATCTTCTAAGTCTGCTAGATCCTTATGTTCTTTCTCACTACTAATTATGCTAAAAACTGAAACAGAAAGAAAAATGCCATGAGCTGAAACAATTCTATGACTTCATTAATAATTCAGCTCTAACACTAAAAGACTCACCTTTTTCCACCCGAATCCTAAAGGCATTTCTTTTCCTTCGACCATAGTCTATACTGAAAAACATAACAAGAAGTTTAGTACCATGGTCTCCACCAATATTTTCCCATTAAGCTCAATCTAAATTAAGAACATAACCTTACATGTATATATGATTATGTCACTATACTTACATTAACCATAAACTTATTTTCAAACAAATTCTATGTTTATATTTTTACTACTCTAATTTTCCTTGACTAGAAATAGGGTTATAGCTGCAGCAAAGTTGCCAGCTTGTACTGAAGAAGACAGAGGAGGGATGAAATGAAGGAAGGCTACTGGACTTCTTGGATCCCACAAGACAAGCCAAAAGAACAATGCAGCTGTGAACATGTGTTACCCTTCAAAAAAAGGCAAGGTGGCTCCAAGGGAAGCTCCGAAGTTGGCAGGGCTGCCACTGACACCACGCACCCAGAGGGCTCAGGCCCAGGCAGAGGCACTGTCTCTCGTTTGGCTCCAAATAGCAGGGCAGTCATTCTAGTGAGTCCAGAGGACAGAGCGCTGAGTCAAAAACAATTACTCTTAAAAGTCGAGTGACTCTGCCTTGCCAGGATTTGGACTTGCTTGAGACCATGACCCTGTTCTTCTTCCCAATTTCTCCTTTTGGAATGAGAATATTTATCCTATGCCTGTCCCATCATATTTAAGAAACAGGTTAAGTTGTTGTCTGACTTCACAAGTTCACAGCTGGACAGGAATTTTACCTCAGGAGGAACTATACCTCCAGTTACACCCATGTATACATATTAGTTACTCTCCAACTCTTTGCCACATATCGGACTCCTTGGACTGTAACCCACCAGGTTCCTCTGTCCATGGAATTCTCCAGGTAGGAATACTGGAGTGAGTCACCATCTCCTTCTCCAACTACACCCGTAGTTGAGTTAAATGATATTCAGAGGAGATTTTGGATTCAGAGTTGATGCTGAAATTGGTTAAGAACTTCTGGGGCTGTGGGGATGGACACAGTGTATTTGCAAACAATGAAGGCATGAATTTTGGGGGGCAAAAGGGCAGTATTAGGAGCTGAACTGTGTCCTCTAAAATTCATAATGTTTAAGTCCTAATCCTTAGTATCTCATTATGTACCTGTTTTTGGAGATATGGTTTTTAAAGATGCAACTGAAGGGAAGGAGGTAGGAGAGGGGTTCAGGATAGGAGGGACACAGGCATACCTGTGGTGGATTCATGTTGATGTATGGCAAAAAACCATCACAATATTGTAAACTAATTACCCTACAATTAAAATAAATTAATTTAAATAAACAGACACATTAAAAAAAAAAGATGTAACTAAAGGGACTTCCCTGGGGGTCCAGTGGTTAAGACTCTGCACTGCCAATGCAGGGGGCATAGGTTGGATCCCTGGTCAGGGAATAAGATCCCACATGACATGCAGTATGGCCAAAAGATAAAAGAGGTTAACTAAGGTAAAATGAAGTCATATGGGTGGGCCCTAATCCAATATGACCAGTGTCTTCTTAAGAATAAGAGATTAGGATACAGAAGGAAGACCAAGTAGAGACACAGGGAGAAGACAGCCATCTGCAGGTCAGGAAGAGACCTCAAAAATAAACCAATCCTGACAACTCCTAGATTGTGAACCTGTAGCCTCCACAACATTAAGGAATACAATTTCTGTTGTTTAAGCCACCTAGTCTATGATGCTTTTTGATGGCAGCCTTAGCAAACTAATATACAGACAAAGGGAGAGAAGAAAACAGAGACACAAACATACAAAGCAGGGATAGTTAATGAGGCAAGATATCAGAAGACCTGGAATTGAGGCACAAAAGAAGGATTTAATCTTTAGTGCAAAGACTACATGAGTGACACATCTTTAGACAGTCAGGAAGCTGAAGGAGATCACGCCTGATGGTTTTCATTTTTTAGTGAAGAAAAGAAGTAATACTACTGACCATCGTGAGTAAGATGCTGAAATCTAAGAAGTAGCCATTTTCATTAATAACAAGGGCAGCTCCTTGCATATAACTAGTGGTTGATAAATGCTTGTATAAATGAACTGAGTTCTAAACCTGTGGATTGCTGAACTAAAGCCAGCAGCTGTGTATCAACTGGAAATTTAGGCAGGATGGAAATTTAAAAAATGGGTGGAAAGGGGCTTCCATGGTGGCTCAGGGGTAAAGAATCCCCTGCCAATGCAGGTGACATGGGTTTGAATCCTGGCCCAGGAAGATCCCACATGCTGCAGGACAACTAAGCCCATGCGCCTCAACTACTGAGCCCAAATGCTCTAGAGCACATGCTCTGCAACAAGAGAAGCCCCCGCAATGAGAAGCCCAAGTACCACAACTAGAGAGTAGTTCCCCACGGCCACTAAAGGGAAGCCCTCACAGCAGGAAGACCCAGCACAGTCACATAAATAAATACACAAATAAATCTTAAAAAGCAAAATGGTAGGAAAGAAAAGCAAAAATCTGGAGACTACATTTACCTGTACATTCTTTGTAAATCAGATGCTAAGACTCCAGTGTCCACATATTTGCCGCATCTGTTACTGGTGAGGTACTAAAACAGAAAACATGATAAACATAACACCATAATTCAAACTCAGTGATTGTAATCAACAACTAAGCGAGCTATTCGAACATGTTATACTTTAATGTAAACTCTTCATTAATAAAGTATGCTAGAAACATAAATAAAAATCACCAGGTAATCGCCAAGTCAGAATCAAAGAATTTAACATTATTAATCACTATGGCAATGCAATAACAATAACCAGAATGGCTATAAGGCAGTAGGTGAGAGCTTATTATATCCTAGATTCCCAAACAGACCACAACAAAGCACTGAACTCATAAGAGCACTAAGGGATATTTTAAACTTGAAAAAACGCAAAAATATTTGATCTGTCCATCTGCAGGAACTACACGTAACCCTCGAACAATATGGGTTTGAACTGCACCAGTCCACTTACAGCAGATTTTTTCAATAAATACATTTTACAGTACTACGTGATCCAGGGCTGGTTGAATATGTCAATATAGAACCACAAATATAAAAAGCCAACCATAGCTATACACAGATTTTCAAATGAATCGGGCTGGGGGGAGAAGGGGATGTTGGCATCCCAACCCTCATATTGCTCAAGGGTCAACTGTACTAGCCTGAGACAATTCATGGTTTCAATATTAAAGCACCTTCTGATGATGTCATATCTTTGCAAACCTGGGTTTCCAGCATTTTCTATAATAAAAATCAAGGTGGAACAGGAAATGAATAGCAGTGTCAATCTGATCGCAAAGTATAAGAAGTTGTGCCGTGCCCAAAAGGCACACAAATTTCACCAGTAAATAACTGTGGTTATTTAAGAATGAAAATATTGGGTCAGCCAAAGTAAAAAACCTGAATGCACTTTTTGGCCAACACAATACAAACGTATTGGGGCCTGGGCTTCCATGGTGGCTCAGCCGGTAAAGAATCCACCTGCAATGCGGGAGACCTGGGTTCGATCCCTGGGTTGAGAAGATCCCCTGGAGAAGGAAAGGGCTACCCACTCCAGTATTCTGGCCTGGACAATTCCAAGGACTGTATAGTCCACAGGGTCATAAAGAGTCAGAAACGACTGAGCAACTTTCATTGACTGACTTTGGGACCTAGAAACAATACCAAAAAAACTACTAAGAAACTAAGGGCCTGGTAAACCTGCTCTAGCGGCCTTTTACACATTCTCTCTTTTAGTGCTCACAATGCTATGAGGCAGATGTTACTCTCCCCCTATTTATTTTTCAAAAAGTATTTATTCATTGGCTGTGCTGGGTCTTCGTTGCTGCATGGTCTTCCCATTGCAGTAGCTTCTCTTGCTGAAGAACAGGGGCCTCAGGATGGGCAAGCTTCACTCAGTATTTGCGGCTCCAGGCTCCAGAGCACAGCCTCAGTAGTTGTGCTACACAGGCTTAGTTACTCCGGGGCATGTAGGGTCTTCCTAGATCAGGGATGGAACCATGTCTTCTGTATTGGCAGGCAGATTCTTGACCACTGAGGAACAAGGAAAGTCCTCTCCACTGATCTGAAGCTTTAAAAGCTTATTTACTTGCTTACCAGCCCATAAGTTACAGGGCCAGATTTTAAACCTAGAATGTTTGGTGATCAACTCCCAAGTTTCAATATTTGCTAATTATCTAGTCTAGGTTCCCCACTTCATACAGCAATTTCTTTTCTTTTTTTTTTTTTAGCAATTTCTTCTCAAGGAACCCTAACACATGAGAACTGCCGCTGCATAAATGCCCCCAATGGCAAGAGACTAGGTGTCCAAAGCTGCAGTTTCAGTTAATTGTCCCCTTTTCTGGACTCCTATAGCATGCTGTCATTTACCACAGTCAATCCTGAATTGCACATATACATCTCAAACCCACTGCAAATCAAAAAGCAACAGGACTAAAACCACTTTAATCAGCTAAGTTTTAGAGTAATCTGCTATATAGCAATAGATTAATGTGCTAGCTAAAAGGAGGCAGCTGTATTACTTGAAAGATGTCTAAAACATATCGCTAAATGAAACAAACAAGCAGAAGAAATGCGGATGAGCCTGTGAATGTGATTTTAAAAAATATACACATCTGTAAATGCATATATGCATACAAAATTTTAAAACAGGTACAAGAGAAATTCTTCATGATTACTCATGCAGAAGTGGAGTGGAGATGAAGAGAATTCTTTCTTCTCATTTTATACCCTCCAGTTCCATTTATTTTAAACCGTAAGTGCCTATTACTCTTATTTTTTCAGTTACTATTTATTTGACTGTGCTAGGTCTTAGTTGTGGCACACAGCATCGCTGGTATTCATTGCAGCATGTGGGATCCAGTTCCCTGACAAGGGCTCAAACCCAGGTCGCCTGCACTGGGAGCATGGAGTCTCGCCCACCAGACCAGCAGGCAAGTTCCCCTACTACTTTATATAATGAACCAAAGTAAAACCAAGAGAGGAAAACTGCTAATGTCAAACGCTACAGAGCAGACAAGAATGGCAAAGACTGAGAAGAGGCCACTGGATTTAGTCATTAGGAGTCACTGCTCGGAGATCTGAATAAACTGAAGCAGCAAACTGCGAACATTCAGAGAAAGAGCAATTAAGTGAGTAAACTGCAAAAACAAAAGTCCTGTGCCCAGGAAGTCTGAGAAGGTCCATGTGGATAGGACCATGCAATCAAGGGAGATTACAAAAGGGGGGAAAAAGCAATGGACAAAAAGGTAGATGGGGCCAAAATACATAGGGCTATTTAGTATGGATTTTACTCTGGATGTCTGAAAGTCCACAGAAGAGTTCTGAGTGGGACCCTGGCACACTCCCATTTTCCCTTTAAAATGAACTCCCTGGCTGCTCTGTGTAGAACAGACTGAGTAAAACCAGAAACAGTGAGATCAGTTAGGAGGTATTTCAACAGTCTAAAGGGGGTGTGGTTTGGACTAGGATGTTAGAAAGTAAGTGAATGTCTCTCAGTCCTGTCTGACTCTTTGCGATCCCATGGACTGTAGTCCACGGAATTCTTCAAGCCAGAATACTGAAGTGGGTAGCCTTTCCTTCTCCAGGGGATCTTCCCAACCCAGGGATTGAACCCAGGTCTCCCACATTGCAGGTGGATTCTTTACCAGATGAGCAACAAGGGAAGCCTGAGAATACTGGAGTGGGTAGCCTATCCCTTCTCCAGCAGATCACCCCGACCCTGGAATCGAACCGGGCCTCCTGCATTGCAGTCAGATTCTTTATCAACTGAGTTATCAGGGAAGCCCCAGTGATTAGGTTTGAAGTATATTTTGAAGGTAAAGCCAAACAGGTCACTGATTAATTGGTTACAGAAAGCAAGAGTCAGAATGATTTTTAAGGTTTTAACCTTAAAAACCTTTAACCTTTAACCAATTCATGGATGGTGCAATGTCATTTACTGAAATAAACAACACAAAGAAAGGAACAGTTTGGAGAAGATCAATACTCTAAGCTGAAATCCTATAAGATACTCATGAGGAGATGTTGAGTAGGCAGCTGGATATATCAATCTGGAATTCAAGATAAAATCAGCGCTGGATTATAATATAAATTTTGAAGTCATGAATGGATGTATAATATTTAAAGGTACTAGACTGGATGAGATCACCTAGAAGTGTGCATAGATAGAAGATAAAGAGAAGGTAAGAGCACGGGTGCTCAAGGCACTTCCAACATATAAAGTGACAGGAAGAAACAGATTTAAAAAACAGACATAGGAGCTGGAAGGGTAAAAGAAAAACAAGGTGAGAATATAGCTCTTAAAGTCTCTCTCCCTCCTTCTGAGTGCTTAGTAATCTAAATGTCCAAGGCATGTACCACACAATGCATTCCACTGACGATTATGAATACAAAAAAAAAAAAAACGGCAGGTAAAGTGCCCGTTATAAAGTAAGATTCAGAGTACTTGTCTTACTGGTGTCCGAACCTGACTCCAAGTTTCCTCAGAAAGGAACTTAACGTATTCTTTATGACCCCGAAAGCAATTCGTCCCTACAAGGTTTCGAGAAATATTTCCTTCCCAACTTCACAAAACAGGAAGTTTAAAACTCAAACGCCATCTCCACTCTCTTCACGGATCTGCACAGAGGTCAGGCAGATCAGAGCAGACCCTCATGGTCTCGGGCTGCGCCTTGCAACTCGGCCGCACAGTGAGGAGGAAGGGGCTTGAACCACCCGCGAAGACGTGGAGTCGTCAACAGCCACACGCTCGAATCCAGACTGGTGCTGGCGGCAAGTCAGTCCGAACTGAAAGCCTCCTCCCTTCTCCCAGCTGCGCCGAGAAAGGGCCTCTGGGGCTCCTGAGCAGCGAACGCGGACCACTCTGAGGGCTGGCCGTGCGGGATACACACCTGGATGACGCGCTGCTTCAGTTTATTATCCACGAACCTCGCGGGCCTGGGCTTCATCGTAGCTACCTCGGCTGTTGCTGCACGGGCTTCACGTGAACCGGGGGCCTCCCCTAGGCTGCCCACGGCGATTGCCGGGCCAGCTGCCCACGGAAATGCGCCCCAACTGCCCTAGCCCACGCCGTTCCCTTCAAGACTTTTGTAGCGCGAGTAAAGGGGAAAGAATCACAGAGAACAAGAAGGAGATTTGAGAGCAGAGAGGAGTTTTTCAGAGTCTTATTTTACAGGCTTGTCCAAGAGGCCCTGGAAGACAAGGACCCATTTGAACACGCTCAACTTTATTGTTCCTGACTCTGTGGACACGCGCAGGGGCGGGAGCTGGGAGGTTCCTGCGGGGGCGTGGCCATCCACATCTGTAACAGGTTTCTGGCCTTGATAGGCGCACCGTTTGCTAACGTAGTTCATCTTGACCTGGAATCTTAACAAAACCGAAACTAGATACTTGTGATGATTAGATCAAGGTAAAAACACACCGCCACCCCCCTGCTTGTTTTCCCACCCAGTGACCCACGTTACTGAGTCCCGACAAAGGGGCTTGCTGTCCAAAAAAAAAAAAATTTAGCTTAACCAGAAAACTAAACCATCTGTTACATTTGGGAATCGCTTGGTCTTCTGATATTTTCGGCAGACAATTCCTTGAGCACACCCACTGGCAGACTCTATCTTGGGCTAGAAACCCCGGAATTTTCTTAACTGTATGTATTTGCCCGCAAAGAAGTTTATCTTGCATCTAAGAAGATACAAATAAAGAATCAATTTTCAAAAAAATTTACTGTCTTTAGTTTCTGCCTCTTTGCTTGTTTCAGTTGTGTTTTCAGTATTCTTATTTGAGGTCTTACTTGGCTTGGGAGACTTTTAAATACAGCCTATATGTCAGCAAATTTGGAAAACTCAGCAGGGGCCACAGGACTGGAAAAGGTCAGTTTTCATCCCAATCCCAAAGAAAGGAAATGCCAAAGAATGCTCAAACTACCACACAATTGCACTTATCTCACACACTAGTAAAGTAATGGTCAAAATTCTCCAAGCCAGGCTTAAGCAAAACGTGAACTTTGAACTTCCAGATGTTCAAGCTGGTTTTAGAAAAGGCAGAGGAACCAGATATTAAATTGCCAACATCTGCTGGATCATTGAAAAAGCAAGAGAGTTCCAGAAAAACACCTATTTCTGCTTTATTGACTATGCCAAAGCCTTTGACTGTGTGGATCACAATAAACTGGAAAATTCTGAAAGAGACGGGAATACCAGACCACCTGACCTGCCTCTTGAGAAACCTATATGCAGGTCAGGAAGCAACAGATAGAACTTGACATGGAACAACAGACTGGTTCCAAATAGGAAAAGGAGTACGTCAAGGCTGTATATTGTCACCCTGCTTATTTAACTTATATGCAGAGTACATCATGAGAAACGCTGGGCTGGATGAAGCACAAACTGGAATCAAGATTGCCAGGAGAAATATCAATAACCTCAGATATGCAGATGACACCACCCTTATGGCAGAAAGTGAAGAAGAACTAAAGAGCCTCTTGATGAAAGTGAAAGAGGAGAGTGAAAAAGTTGGCTTAAAACTCAACATTCAGAAAACGAAGATCATGGCATCTGGTCCCATCACTTCATGGGAAATAGATGGGGAAACAATGGAAACTGTGGCTGACTGTTTTCTTGGGCTCCAAAATCACTGCAGATGGTGATTGCAGCCATGAAATTAAAAGACGCTTGCTCCTTGGAAGGCAAGTTATAACCAACCTAGATAGCATATTAAAAAGCAGAGGCATTACTTTGCCAACAAAGGTCCGTCTAGCCAAGGCTATGGTTTTTCCAGTAGTCATGTATGGATGTGAGAGTTGGACTATAAAGAAAGCTGAGCACCGAAGAATTGATGCTTTTGAACTGTAGTGTTGGAGAAGACTCTTGAGAGTCCCTTGGACTGCAAGGAGATTCAACCAGTCCATCCTAAAGGAGATCAGTCCTGGGTGTTCATTGTAAGGACTGATGTTGAAGCTGAAACTCTTAATACTTTGGCCACCTGATGTGAAGAGCTGACATTTGAAAAGACCCTGATGCTGGGAAATGTTGAGGGCAGGAGGAGAAGGGGACGACAGAGGATGAAATGGTTGGATGGCATCACCGACTCAATGGACATGAGTTTGGGTAGGCTCTGGGAGTTGTGGGGTCGAAAAGAGTTGGACACGACTGAGGGACTGAACTGAACTGAACTGAAGTAGTGCATTGAGGTGTGGAGAGGAGATGGAATTAAGAAAAGGTGGTGAAATGTTGACAGTGTGGATAAAGAATGTTGCCTGCCATTTTAGTAAACAAAGAATGTTGTGGCCATGATGCCATCAGCCACTATCCTGCCCCTAATGGTGCACCCTGAGAGGACTACTGGAGCAGGTTGCAATTTTCTACTCAAGGAGATCCTCCTCTTGACCCAGGGATTGAACCCGTGTCTTTTGTGTCTCATGCATTGACAGGCGGATTCTTACCACTAGGGCCACATGGGAAGCCCACGAAGTATTAGTCACTCAGTCGAGTCAGACTCTTTGAGACCCCATGAACTGGGGAAATGGCAACCCACTCCAGTATTCTTGCCTGGGAAATCCCATGGACAGAGGGGCCTGTTGGGCTACAGTCTATGGGGTCACGAAGAGTCGGACTCAACTGAGGGACTGAGCACCAGATGTACTGCATAGAATAAAATGGGCCCAGCAGCATTACAACCTATGCCAAGCAGCATAGCTTATTAGACTACAATTTGTTTGAGAGTACTATCCTATAGTCAGCTTCATGGGTGTGTGACCTGTGTGGTTGCAAAGAGCTTTGTGCTCAGATAGGGCTCAACACTGGGATAATGCTCCACAATTTCTGTCCTGAAATTCTTAATACTGTTTGAACAAGTGGCCCCTTATTTTAATTTTGTACAGGGCCCTGAAAATTATGTAACTTATTTGGACCTTAAGTACTCCAGAGTGCAAACTTATTAAAGGCAAGAAGCATTTTTCACCCATTTATTGCATCAGGTGCAGTAGGCAATAATTCAAAGTAAGTTAATACTCAGCATCAATAATGGTATGCTAGAACATTTTCCTTTGCAATTATTTCCAGTAATTATTGCCCTGAAGATAATTTTACATCAATTCCATTGTTTAGATTTTACAGTACCATACAACTAAACCAAAAAGATTACTGAATAGTAACCTGAGCACATGTACATCTCAAGAACTTCCTACAGTAAGTGAATTGTCCTCCATTCTTTGACGGTGCAATCCCACCTAGTGGTAATGGCATATTTTGCTTTCTATTTTTCACAGCTTTGCTCTCCCAGACCTTGTACCTCACTAAAAAATAGCCCCTTGTCTAATTTTGCTTCTTAATTAAGGTGATATGTGTCCTGATTTACTCAAGACCACCCCAATTTTTGCCTCTTGATCCAGCACAATTATTATTACTATTTTGTCCAGGCCTTGCAGCATTTGGGATCATCCCTGACCAGGGATTGAACCCCTGCCCCCTGCAGTGGGAGCATGGAGTCTTAAACACTAGACCACCAGGGAAGTCTCAGCACAAGTTACTTTATTTTAATTTTTGGCCACGCTATGTGGCATGTGGGATTTTAGTTCCCCAACCAAGGATCAAACTCACACCCCCTGTAATGGAAGATGACATCTTAACCACTGGATTGCCAGGGAAGCCCTCAGCACAATTATTAAGAGTATCCTTTTGTGGAAATGAGTGAAAGTCACCCAAATGAGAACAGGCAAAGACTATTCAGAGCTTGCAATAATAGCAAGGGAGTTGACCACCATCCCTTGCATTTTGGCAGAGACTCAAAGGCAGGTAAAGGACAGGGGAAGCTTCATAACTGAAAGAAGGGAAGGTTTCAGATATGTGCTGACTGAAGGCTGTCGGCACAGAGAAGCTGTAGAAGGGCTAACTAAAAATCAAGCCTCTGTGTGACTAGTTATGTGTGCTCAGCCCCTCGGTCATGTTCACTCTTTGTGACCCTATAGACTGTAGCCCACCATAATACTAGAAGGGTTGCCATTTCCTACTCCTGGGGATCTTCCTGATCCAGAAATCTAATCTGCATCTCTTGTGTCTTCTGCATTGGCAGGCACATTCTTTACACTGTGCCACCTGGGAAGCCCATGTGACTAGTTCAGGGCATATATTTGGTTTTTTCTGGTGAGTCCTGTCAGTGGAGTCCTGGACATTTGGGACCAATGCTACAGGGTTTATTGTTTGGCTTCTGGGATTATTTGCTAGAGATATTGTCCTGACTTCCTGTAAGTCTGACTTGTAGATAGCTGATTGGTTTCCTGGGCTGGTTGCTGCAGATTATAAATCAGAGCATTGTTTTTCTGTTTTGTTTTACAGGGTCTGGCCATTGTTCATTTGTATACTCAGTTTCCCACCTTTATCCCTTAAGGGTTCCAGTTTAGACAATGAATTATATGGTCATCAATGTATAATAGGAATATGGAGAAAAATTGTGAGCGTGTGTATAGCTGAGATTCCTTACCAAGGTTCAAAAGGGAGGGAGGTGGCCTGCTTGCTGTGAGCTTGAGACTGAGTCTGTATCCATGATTTCTGAGATGAGGAAAGAAATCTTCGATTTGGTTTATTTTGTGAAGGCCAATAATTCCGATTTCTAATCAAGTTTGTCCTCCTTTGAGATGAATGCCTTATTCACGTTCCCTAATCCTAATGGAATAAAAGTAAAATTTTGAGCTGGCATTTTTTTCATTATATCTACACATGTTTATTGTCTACTATATGGCAGTTGCTATGCTAAAGTCAGAGGATACAGTGATGATCACAAATATGGTCTTGGAACTTATATTCTAGTGAGAGGGTCAAGCAGTGGGCTGGCAAAATAATAAACACATGGGACTTCCCTGGTGGGCCAGTGGTTAAGAATCCACCTTGCAATGCAGGAGACATGGGTTTGATCCCTGATCGGAGAACTAAGATCCCACATGCCACGCAGGCTGCAA